GGTGCTACCCAGCCTATTGTTTTTTCTTCTTCTGATAGTGGATATAACGTTGAAGATCTGACGTTTTAAATGTACAAATTCAACATATTTTATACATGTTGAAATTTGGTTACCATGATGACATAATCCTGTGGTTGAAATTTCACCCTCAAATCCAACGTATTTTCCACATAGATTCCACGTCACAATACGTTGAAACAATGTTGATTTCAACCAGTTTTTTGCCCAGTGGGATACCATTAATAGAACTCACAGTACCCTCAACAGCATCATTGGTTGTTTTACCTACTTTAGTTCAATGTTCTGATTGTCAACCTGGAGAAGAGCATCTGATAAATGACAAACGTACTGTAAAATTAAATAGTTGAAAACAGCAGCAGAGGTTGCTGTACTATTGGTTAAACAAACTGTTCCAGAATTCAGGATGTAAAAATCCACGACTCTGTTTGTCCACGTCTAACCAGCCTGATCACCCAATCTCTTTCTTTCTCTCTCGCTCTTTTTTTCAGGGAATTGAACTGTCGACCGGGTCGAGGGGAAGCACCATGACTAGTGTTAACTCCCCCGCCTGCCTCCTGGCTCGCAAACCAGTTCTATGGAAGTAAGGAGAAACCCTATTTTTAAACCTTGACTTTGTAACTTTGTCTCGTCCATAAAGCAATTATTGAACTTGGACAAACAACTGGTGTGGTGTGTGTGTGTGTGTGTGTGTGTGTGTGTTTGATAGATGATGTGAAGAGTGACAGGAGGACACGTGTTAACTTAATGGAGAATTACTGTCAACCTATGCACTTTGTCTTTTGAACCATCGTGACAAATACTTAGAACAGGGTTTCTTTTTTATATACTCCTGTTTTTTGTTTGATGAACATTTGGTTGGGTGAGCGGCAACCTCACTGTGGAACCACGTTATCAACACCTGGTCAAAAGAATAAATTACTCATTTGTGTTGACTGTAGTCTAGTTCATCTGCTATTTAAACAGTAACCTCTGATTCTGAGGATGAACTCCAAAAAATGTAACATTTCAGAGTTGGAGATGATTCAACCTTTTATTTAACCAGGTTGTCCCATTGAAGTCAAAATAACTCATTTTCAAGGGAGACCTGGCCAAGAAGGCAGCTCAAGTAAAAACCAAAGCAGACATCGCTCTTCATCTGTCATTAATCATTTGATTACGCACACAACATTCAAATTCACCCTAAGTATGTCCATCCATCCAGCCTCGGCCTACAGTACATCTTAACCCCATAAATCCAGCCTCGGCCTACAGTACATCCTACAGCAAGCAGTTTAGCAGTTACACGGTGGGCACCCAGTGGCAGATAAACGAATTATAAAACCAAAAGCTTAACCTTGACTTGGAAGAGTTCCAGTGTTTGGATAGCCATAGCCGCTCCTCTAGCTAACATAGGCATCCCTCTCTGATTTGAGAACGGGTTGTTTGAGTAGCGCTCAAACTAGCTGCTGCATTCGCTAGCTAGGTACCGTGAAAGTGAAAAGAAATACAACTACATATTAGTCTCTCTCTCTCTGCGTGCCTACATTTTGAAAAATTAATTTGTAAACTGTCAAACTATTGCCCTTTCTCACCAGGGTCTACATTTACACTGCGACCTGGCCACAGTCTAAAGCACAGCGGTACATCTAAACCAACACAGACGCTACTTACATATGGGGTACATAAAACATCCATCAACATCCAACATTAAACCATTATACCAGCTGTGCAAATGTACCCAGTTATGGCCTACAGTCATCCTACCCCACATTTGTAGGCAGTTGCAGTTACTACGTGTGCCCATGCATGTAATCAAACTTATTGACTTGAGATTGTGTTGGATAGCCTAGCCATACTACATAGCACTTGTTAGGGGGGAGTAGGCTAAATAGCTATCATTCGCCTAGGTAGTGAAGTGAAAAGAAAAACTACTGTCCTCCGGCTCAATGTGTAAACTACATGCTTTCTCTGTCATTTTAACCATGTGGCTAGCTGTAGCTTATGTTTTCAGTGCTAGATTAATTATCTGATCCTTTGATTGGGTCGATATGTCAGCTCATACTGCAAGAGCTGTGATAGGTTGGAGGACGTCCTCCTCAAATTGTCATAATTACTGTGTATGGAAGGGGGTGAGAACCATGAGCCTCCTAGGTTTTGTATTGAAGTCAATGTCCCCAAAGGAGGATGGAAACTAGCTGTCCTCCGGCTACACCATGGTGCTACCCTACAGAGTGCTGTTGAGGCTACTGTAGACCTTCATTGTTTAAATCAATTATTTGGCGACTATATATTTAGTATAGTTTTATCTAAAAAGGATAACTTTTTTTTATTGTTTCACTATTTTTATGAAATTCACTGAGCAGGATGCTCCTCCCCTTCTTCCTCTGAGGAGCCTCCACTGCTGAAATCGTTGCTGTGAGCCAAACATGCCAGCCTGAAAGGGTTTACTACAGATTTCAGTCCAACACGCTCAAGTCTCAATCGGCTGAGAACAGGGCAGGTTTAGTGAAGGTCACTCACATACAGATCAGTGGCGAACCTTGACTATAGGACCTTCAGAGGGACCACAAATCTTCCAATACATTGTATCAAACTCAAAAATCAAGAAAACAGAAAACATAGCATCACTTCATGCATCATAACTTCTGTAGTCGGACCATTCTAGTTCTGGTGAAGGAGGAGCAATGATTTTTGATGACATTATGAATTAATCAAATAAAAAGCGTGAGCTGGCGCACACCCAGAGAACATTATTTAGTGTAGATGTGTTGACTAACGGAGAATAAACTGTAAACTATAAAAACAAATGAAGAGAGTTGCACCCTCTATGTATAAACTCCCAGTAATTTATTGGGTAAGAAACCACCAATGTTTCGGTATCACTGTGCCTTCTTCAGGGTTACGAATGAATCAATGAATCATTACGAATGAATCAAACGGGCCTGGCTGCGCTTCGGGCTGCCTCACACACAGAGACAGAACCGGCATGGACACAACATGACACAGAGCATAAAATAATGTGACCAGCAAAACAAAAACACACTGTTTACACAACCTATGGTAGCCAACACCACTATCACCAATAGCAACAACAGTGTCACATCAAAGGTGACAGGCTCATGGTGCTGAAAGGACAGCGACCATAATACCTGTGCACTCCATGGCGCTGAAGGAGAGCCCGTTTTGGTCAAACACATAGACACTGGCTGATAGACAGTCGACAGCAGTCACACACTGCATCAAATAATGTTAAACAAGCACCCATTCACTCCAGTAGGCCCCATGAAATCAGAACAATACGAAATCACATCCATTTCATTTCCAAAATGAAATTAACAAACCAGCTATTACTTCCCATAGCAAATATATTCGTTCATCACACTAACCGGTGATCTAAAGTTACATTTTCAAAGAGATAGCGACCAGCAAGCGAGCTGCAACAAAAAAACAGTGCCAGATGATGATAATTTGTAAACAAAATTTGAAATAAGTTTAAAAGTTAATCTTGAAAAGGGTTATGCTAACAAATTAGCAACAACATCCACCTTGAAGTTGATATCAGCTGCTGTAGCCATCACCATTGCCACACTACTACAACACAAGCTAGCTAACATTGTGACACTACCACAACACAAGCTAGCTAACATTGTCACACTACCACAACACAAGCTAGCTAACATTGTGACGGTAACACAACACAAGCTAGCTAACATTGTGACACTACCACAACACAAGCTAGCTAACATTGTGACACTACCACAACACAAGCTAGCTAACATTGTGACACTACCACAACACAAGCTAGCTAACATTGTCACACTACCACAACACAAGCTAGCTAACATTGTCACACTACCACAACACAAGCTAGCTAACATTGTGACACTACCACAACACAAGCTAGCTAACATTGTGACACTACCACAACACAAGCTAGCTAACATTGCCACACTACCACAACACAAGCTAGCTAACATTGTGACACTACCACAACACAAGCTAGCTAACATTGTGACACTATCACAACACAAGCTAGCTAACATTGTCACACTACCACAACACAAGCTAGCTAACATTGTCACACTACTACGCCACTGATTATTCTCTCTTGTGCTCTCAGTAGTGGTCTCTAGGCCTAAAACCCCAAAACCCCACCCTTTGCAAGTCAAAATGTGATTGGTTCATTCCACTGTCACTCCAAAATGCTGCTCTAATACAGTTGAATCAGAGATAGAATAATGAAATAGCTAGGTTAGTTATAGCTTCTGAAGGACTAGCCAATGGCTGGCTGAGCTAGCTAGATTTGTCTACCCGGAGACCACCAAAGAAAGTCATGATTGGATCATTTTTCCTGATGAAATCAGAAGATGATTATTACGATTATTGTAAAGATGAAATAGAAATTAAAACGACATTTAATTTAAAAAAGACATCGATTTTTATAAATCCTTAGGCCTTCTCGGTTCCCCACTGATACAGATAGACTGAGCAACCAGGAATGTCTCTGAAAAGCCGCATGTGAATGTGCATATCTGAAATGTGATAAAGTTACTGTTTTATCGTCCGCCATAGACACAACAAGCCCTACAGAGAGTATAAAGCCTACTGCAGTCTATAGCCTCTCTGATTGGTTGACGCTACGACCCAAACAAAGCCAAGTAATGGTCTGGGTGACCATGTCAACACAACCAGGTGACTGAACCATCATATTCTCCATCCTACTCATTTAAGGATGACATCACTCAGTGGTTCAACTAGGCTGGTGCTGTCTGTCTTGTACTTAGTATTGGCGCCTGTCATTTTCTACTGCTTGAGTATCGGCACCTCTTTTTAGAATATTTGCTCTAGAATATGAACCTCAGTACGCTAATATAAAAATGTGTAACCGGCACCTTTTACATTCCACTTCAGACACACAAGACATCACTTAAATTTGACCTTACTAACCACCCCTTCATATCCTCCTCAGGGTTCCCAGGAGCAGGGGGGATATCTAAAGGATGGTGGGTCAGTGGGGTTCTGGGGAGCCCCACACCCCGTCCAGTGCCCCACAGCCCAGCGCCCCCCGTCCAGCGCCCCACACCCCGCACCGCCCCCTGTCCAGTGCCCCCCAGCCCAGCGCCCCCCTGTCCAGTGCCCCCCAGCCCAGCGCCCCCGTCCAGCGCCCCATCCCAGCACCCCTGTCCAGCATCCCCTGTCCAGCGCCCCCCAGCCCAGCGCCCCCGTCCAGCGCCCCCCAGCCCAGCCAACAGAGTGGACAAGTAGAGACACACCACCACACAGAGGGAAAGACTCCAAGAGGAAGATGAGGGAGAAGACATCTTCCACTCTGTCTGTCCTCTCAGCACAGAAATATGGACTTGATCAAGCCAGTCAGTGTTGGACATGTTTTAAATTTTGCGTCACTCCCTACCCTGACTCCTGTTTTTGGAGGCAGAAGGAAGGACAAGAAAAATAAGCCATTTCTGCAAGCGCTCTCTAAAACAGACGATAGGCTCTATTCAATCTCTATTCGCTGAAGCATTTCCGATTGAGTCGACATACGCAGCGTTTACCGTGAATGCAGTCTCCGCTAACGCGGGAACATTGCCTTTAAATTTCAATAATGGCGTAACGAGGAACGTCCGCAATACGGATTGAAAAGGCCTCTGTGTATATTATTCCATACATTGACATAAGATATGAATTCAATCAAACACACATCCCAGTTATACCCCCCCCCCCCCCTTTTGTTATTTACCCCCTCCCATCTTTTCTTCCTTTCATAACTTGGCCACAGCCTGTCCTCCTCTCCACTTGGCCACAGCCTGTCCTCCTCTCCACTTGGCCACAGCCTGTCCTCCTCTCCACAGCCTGTCCTCCTCTGTCCTCCTCTGTCCTCCTCTCCACCAGCTGTCCTCCTCTCCACTTGGCACACAGCCTGTCCTCCTCTCCACTTGGCCAAAGCCTGTCCTCCTCTCCACTTGGCCACAGCCTGTCCTCCTCTCCACAGCCTGTCCTCCTCTCCACTTGGCCACAGCCTGTCCTCCTCTCCACTTGGCCACAGCCTGTCCTCCTCTCCACAGCCTGTCCTCCTCTCCACTTGGCCACAGCCTGTCCTCCTCTCCACAGCCTGTCCTCCTCTCCACTTGGCCACAGCCTGTCCTCCTCTCCACTTGGCCACAGCTGTCCTCCTCTCCACAGCCTGTCCTCCTCTCCACAGCCTGTCCTCCTCTCCACTTGGCCACAGCCTGTCCTCCTCTCCACAGCCTGTCCTCCTCTCCACAGCCTGTCCTCCTCTCCACTTGGCCACAGCCTGTCCTCCTCTCCACAGCCTGTCCTCCTCTCCACTTGGCCACAGCCTGTCCTCCTCTCCACTTGGCCACAGCCTGTCCTCCTCTCCACTTGGCCACAGCCTGTCCTCCTCTCCACTTGGCCACAGCCTGTCCTCCTCTCCACAGCCTGTCCTCCTCTCCACTTGGGCCACAGCCTGTCCTCCTCTCCACTTGGCCACAGCCTGTCCTCCTCTCCACTTGGCCACAGCCTGTCCTCCTCTCCACTTGGCCACAGCCTGTCCTCCTCTGTCCTCCTCTGTCCTCCTCTCCACAGCCTGTCCTCCTCTCCACTTGGCCACAGCCTGTCCTCCTCTCCACTTGGCCACAGCATGTCCTCCTCTGTGCAGCACAACATGTTCCTTTTTTCAGCAGAACTTTCTCCACGGCGTCTCCAGACTCTGTCACGTCTGTCACATGTGCTCAGTGTGAACCTGCTTTCATCTGTGAAGAGCACAGGGTGCCAGTGGCGAATTTGCCAATCTTGGTGTTCTCTGGCAAATGCCAAACGTCCTGCATGGTGTTGGGCTGTAAGCACAACCCCCACCTGTGGACGTCGGGCCCTCATACCACCCTCATGGAGTCTGTTTCTGACCGTTTGAGCAGACATGTGCACATTTGTGGCCTGCTGGAGGTCATTTTGCAGGGCTCCTCCTGCTATTCCTTGCACAAAGGCGGAGGTAGCGGTCCTGCTGCTGGGTTGTTGCCCTCCTACGGCCTCCTCCACGTCTCCTGATGTACTGGCCTGTCTCCTGGTAGCGCCTCCATGCTCTGGACACTACGCTGACAGACACAGCAAACCTTCTTGCCACAGCTCGCATTGATGTGCCATCATGGATGAGCTGCACTACCTGAGCCACTTGTGTGGGTTGTAGACTCCGTCTCATGCTACCACTAGAGTGAAAGCACCGCCAGCATTCAATAGTGACCAAAACATCAGCCAGGAAGCATAGGAACTGAGAAGTGGTCTGTGGTCACCACCTGCAGAACCACTTCTTTATTGGAGGTGTCTTGCTAATTGCCTATAATTTCCACCTGTTGTCTATTCCATTTGCACAACAGCATGTGCAATGTATTGTCAATCAGTGTTGCTTCCTAAGTGGACAGTTTGATTTCACAGAAGTGTGATTGACTTGGAGTTACATTGGTGTTGTTTAAGTGTTCCCTTTATTTTTTTTGAGCAGTGTACATTGCATTTAGGCGTAGGGAAAGTACAGAAGGGGACTGTCTCAAGAGTGCAAGAATGATTCCATAAAAGGTAGCCATCGGTCTGGGTTATGATAAGGGCTAGTTTCTGTGGGAAGCGAGGAGATGGCTTTCAATGTCGTAGTTGGGGAGAGGAGTGAGGATAAGATGCAGATAACGGAATCATATCTCAAAAAGGAGAACAGAGGCAGACAGCCATCTGACCCAACCTGGGTCATCCACTCCATGTACTGTAGATAAGATTGACTCTGTAGCACTACCCTGTACAGGGGAGGCCTCCTGTTGGGTGAATAAATAAATAAATAAATAAATAAATCTGGTTTGAGCTTTTCTCTGCGTCCGTATCGGAGTACTGTACCGGAGTAGAACCTATCAGCGTCGGCACAATATTGGGTCTTGACTCAAGAGAAACAGCGTAATGGAAATTCGGACAGTACGGTGCCTTGCAGCAGGAAGCCACCTCCACTAGACATACTTCTCACGTCGCTGTTAAATCTCACACAGCAGTTGGCTGTTCTGGATCGTCCTAAGCCTCCAGAAGAACCGTCACACAGCACGGCAGGAATGGACATCCCCATTTACTTACTCTACTTTTTTTATTTTATTTATTTCACCTTTATTTAACCAGGTAAGACAGTTGAGAACAAGTTCTCATTTACAACTGCGACCTGGCCAAGATAAAGCAAAGCAGTGCGATAAAAACAACAACACAGAGTTACATATGGGGTAAAGAAAACATAAGGTCATAAAATACAACAGAAAATATATATACAGTGTGTGCAAATGTAGCAAGTTATGGAGGTAAGGCAATAAATAGGCTATAGTGCAAAATAATTACAATTTAGTATTAACACTGGAATGATAGATGTGCAAGAGATTATGTGCAAATAGAGATACTGGGGTGCAAAAGAGCAAAATAAATAACAATATAGGGATGAGGTAGTTGGGTGGGCTAATTTCAGATGGGCTGTGTACATGTGCAGTGAACGGTAAGGTGCTCTGACAACTGATGCTTAAAGTTATTGAGGGAGATAAGAGTCTCCAGCTTCAGAGATTTTTGCAATTCGTTCCAGTCATTGGCAGCAGAGAACTGGAAGGAATGGCGGCCAAAGGAGGTGTTGGCTTTGGGAATGTGAGATATACCTGCTGGAGCGCAGACTACGGGTGGGTGCTGCTATGGTGACCAATGAGCTAAGATAAGGCGGGGATTTGCCTAGCAGTGATTTATAGATGGCCTGGAGCCAGTGGGTTTGACGACGAACATGTAGTGAGGACCAGCCAACAAGAGCGTACAGGTCACAGTGGTGGGTAGTGTATGGGGCTTTGGAGACAAAACGGATGGCACTGTGATAGACTACATCCAATTTGCTGAGTAGAGTGTTGGAGGCTATTTTGTAAATGACATCGCCGAAGTCAAGGATCGGTAGGATAGTCAGTTTTACGAGGGCATGTTTGGCAGCATGAGTGAAGGAGGCTTTGTTGCGAAATAGGAAGCCGATTCTAGATTTAACTTTGGAATGGAGATTCTTAATGTGAGTCTGGAAGGAGAGTTTACTGTCTAACCAGACACCTAGGTATTTGTAGTTGTCCACATACTCTAGGTCAGACCCGTCGAGAGTGGTGATTCTAGTCGGGTGGGCGGGTGCCAGCAGCGTTCGATTGAAGAGCATGCATTTAGTTTTACTAGTGTTTAAGAGCAGTTGGAGGCTACTGAAGGAGTGTTGTATGGCATTGAAGCTCGTTTGGAGGTTTGTTAACACAGTGTCCAATGAAGGGCCAGATGTATACAAAATGGTGTCGTCTGCGTAGAGGTGGATCTGAGAGTCACCAGCAGCAAGAGCGACATCATTGATATACACGGAGAAAAGAGTCGGCCCAAGAATTGAACCCTGTGGCACCCCCATAGAGACTGCCATAGGTCCAGACAACAGGCCCTCCGATTTCACACACTGAACTCTATCTGAGAAGTAGTTGGTGAACCAGGCGGGGCAATCATTTGAGAAACCAAGGCTATTTAGTCTGCCAATAAGAATGCGGTGGTTGACAGAGTCGAAAGCCTTGGCCAGGTCGATGAAGACGGCTGCACAGTACTGTCTATTATCGATCGCGGTTATAACATCGTTTAGGACCTTGAGCGTGGCTGAAGTGCACCCATGACCAGCTCGGAAACCGGATTGCATAGCGGAGAAGGTACGGTGGGATTCGAAATGGTTGGTGATCTGTTTGTTAACTTGGCTTTCAAATACTTTCGAAAGGCAGGGCAGGATGGATATAGGTCTGTAACAGTTTGGATCTCGTGTCACCCCCTTTGAAGAGGGGGATGACAGCGGCAGCTTTCCAATCTCTGGGGATCTCAGACGTTACGAAAGAGAGGTTGAACAGGCTAGTAATAGGGGTTGCGACAATTTCTGCGGCTAGTTTTAGAAAGAAAGGGTCCAGATTGTCTAGCCCAGCTGATTTGTAGGGGTCCAGATTTTGCAGCTCTTTCAGAACATCAGCTGTCTGAATTTGTGTGAAGGAGAAGCGGGGGGGGCATGGGCAAGTTGCAGCGGAGGGTGCAGAGTTGGTGGCCGGGGTAGTGGTAGCCAGGTGGAAAGCATGGCCAGCCGTAGCAAAATGCTTGTTGAAATTCTCGATTATTGTAGATTTATCGGTGGTGATAGTGTTTCCTAGCCTCAGTGCAGTGGGCAGCTGGGAGGAAGTGCTCTTATTCTCCATGGACTTTACAGTGTCACAAAACTTTTTGGAGTTAGTGCTACAGGATGCAAATTTCTGTTTGAAAAAGTTAGCCTTTGCTTTCCTGACTGCTTGCGTATATTGGTTCCTAACTTCCCTGAAAAGTTGCATATCGCGGGGGCTATTTGATGCTAATGCAGTACGCCACAGGATGTTTTTGTGCTGGTCAAGGGCAGTCAAGTCTGAGGAGAACCAGGGGCTATATCTGTTCTTAGTTCTGTATTTTTTGAATGGGGCATGTTTATTTAAGATTGAGAGGAAATTACTTTTAAAGAACAACCAGGCATCCTCTACTGACGGAATGAGATCTATATCCATCCAGGATACCTGGGCCAGGTCAATTAGGAAGGCCTGCTCGCTAAAGTGTTTTAGGGAGCGTTTGACAGTGATGAGGGGTGGTCGTTTGACCGCGGACCCGTTACGGACGCAGGCAATAAGGCAGTGATCGCTGAGATCCTGGTTGAAGACAGCGGAGGTGTATTTAGAGGGTAAGTTAGTCAGGATGATATCTATGAGGGTACCCATGTTTACGGATTTAGGGTTGTACCTGGTAGGTTCGTTGATAATTTGTGTGAGATTGAGGGCATCTAGTTTGGATTGTAGGATGGCCGGGGTGTTAAGCATATCCCAATTTAGGTCACCAAGCAGTACGAACTCTGAGGATAGATGGGGGGCAATCAATTCACATATGGTGTCCAGGGCACAGCTGGGGGCTGAGGGGGGTCTGTAGCAAGCGGCAACAGTGAGACTTATTTCTGGAAAGGTGGATTTTTAGAAGTAGAAGCTCAAACTGTTTGGGCACAGACCTGGATAGTATGATAGAGCTCTGCAGGCTCTCTCTACAGTAGATTGCAACTCCACCCCCTTTGGCAGTTCTATCTAGACGGAAAATGTTATAGTTGGGGATGGAAATTTCAGAATTTTTGGTGGCCTTCCTAAGCCAGGATTCAGACACTGCTAGAACATCAGGGTTGGCGGAGTGTGCTAACGCAGTGAATAACTCAAACTTAGGAAGTAGACTTCTGATATTTACGTGCAAGAAACCAAGACTTTTGCGATTACAGAAGTCAGCAAATGATAGCGCCTGGGGAGTAGGAGTGATACTGAGGGCTGCAGGGCCTGGGTTAGCCTCTACATCACCAGAGGAACAGAGGAGGACTAGAATAAGGATACGGCTAAAGGCTTTAAGAACTGGTCTTCTAGTGCGTTGGTAGAGGGATGGTCTGGTTCTAGTATTTCAGATCCATAACTGCCAAAAGGATCCATAAGTCACAGACAAGGTAAGAGGATGCATGCATGTCAATGGTCGGTTTCCAGTATTTATAATATAATAATATGCCATTCAGCAGACGCTTTTATCCAAAGCGACTTAGTCATGCGTGCATACATTTTTGTGTATGGGTGGTCCCGGGGATCGAACCCACTACCCTGGCATTACAAGCGCCGTGCTCTACCAGCTGAGCTACAGAGGACCTCTGTTTCAGCATGACAGTTGGACACCGAGTGCCCAGGTTAATGTTGACTGTTTGGCATACAGAGATTGTTTTCAGTATTTTTTCAGAGCGATAAATTCCTTTTGAAAGAAACAAAAAATGACAGACAAGTCCATAATTAGGCTGAGGCAACTTTTACTGGACATCTGCGATCACAGGGTGACAAAGTGGTGAGGTTAACAAAAGTTGTGAGTGCGCCACGTTGTCACAGACAAGTACAAATGTAAAAAAAAAAAGGTAGTTTAAAACTTTTTTTTATTTTTTATATTTGTTCATAGATACAAAAAAACAGATACAAAAAAAAAAAAATTTTCATTGGCAGCCTGTCCTACTAAAGACAAAACTAAAAGAGGGGTGTCTTCCAATATCCATACTACTTAGCATGAAGCAATATAACAGGCATGCATTCTATGTAGCTAATGTGGATAACGCATTACTTTTGACCAGAGCCCAATGGATCCTGGTCAAAAGTAGTGCACAAAGAAAAAAAAAAATGGGGAACAGGGTGCCATTTGGAACAAATCCACAGTCAAGGGTTAAGGGGTCTGTTCCAATATCTACACTAGCATACTACACTAGCATACTACACTAGCATACTACACTAGCATACTACACTAGCATACTACACTAGCATACTACACTAGCATACTACCTAGTATGAAGCGATGTAACAGGCATACATTCTATGTAGTGTGCTAGTGCGGAGGACGGAACAGAGTCAAGTGTCTAGGGGACGGGGACGCAGCCTCCGTCTCCTAGCGTTTGTCCCCTCTCTCAGGAGGGGGGTGGACTCCCCGGCTGGGACCTCACGGCTTCGCTGCCGTCGCTGACCTGCCTCGTCATCGCCATCTCCCTGGCAACGCAGGTCACCTGGCCGTTGGTCACGGTCATGGCCGCCGCCCTGGAAGAGAGAGGAGGTTGAGTGTGAGAGGTCAGGTAATGAACGTCCTGTGTAGCTCAGACTTTAGCACTAGCAATGCAAAAGGTCTCCGGTTCAATTCCCAGGGATAGAGGAGAGGTTGAAGACAGGGAGGGGGGGAGGAGAGGTTGAAGACAGGGAGGGGGGGGAGGAGAGGTTGAAGACAGGAGGGGGGGGAGGAGAGGGTTTGAAGACAGGGAGGGGGGGAGGGAGAGGTTGAAGACAGGGAGGGGGGGGAGGAGAGGTTGAAGACAGGGAGGGGGGGGAGGAGAGGTTGAAGACAGGTGAGGGGGGGGAGGAGAGGTTGAAGACAGGGGAGGGGGGGAGGGGAGGTTTGAAAAACAGGGAGGGGGGGAGGAGAGGTTGAAGACCGGGAGGGGGGGGAGGAGAGGTTGAAGACCGGGAGGGGGGGGGAGGAGAGGTTGAAGACCGGGAGGGGGGGGAGGAGAGGTTGAAGACAGGGAGGGGGGGGGGGAGGAGAGGTTGAAGACCAGGGAGGGGGGGAGGAGAGGTTGAAGCCAGGAGGGGGGGGGGGGGGGAGAGGGTGAAGACAGGAGGGGGGGGGGGGGGGGAGAGGTTGAAGACAGGGAGGGGGGAGGAGAGGTTGAGTGTGAGAGCAAGGAAAACCAGGGTTGTATTCAGCAGGGTGCACCTTGCTTAATGTTGTAGATAGAACTGCCATGAGGATAATGCCCTACTGTGTCAGAAAGCTGTCTGTCATAGTGACGGACCCTTGCTAGCTAACGTTAGCTTACTGAGGGAGAGCTGGGTGTTCTGCTTGGCTACGGCAGAGATTCTCCTCTCACCGCGCTCTCCATTTGATGAAACTAAAAATCAAAACTTTAATAGAATTGAAACCCCAGGTTCTTAGTAACAATTTGATATGCAGCAACTGAGACTGCGACCGGTGATGACAAGCTGTGTCGAGCAAGTCTGCGTGGAGGGGACCGTTGCTTGGCGCCAGTCTCTCGTCGAGAGAGAAAAAGGAAATGGGGAAAGTATGGGGAGGGAGAGAATAGTAGGTAAGGAGAGATTTAAAAAAAAAAAAAAAAAAAAAAAAATGGGGGAGAAGTGATGGGAGGGAAGGAGAGGACCACTGGCTCATAAATGCCCTCAGCAAGCACTGCCAGTATACACACCAGGGTTTCCGTTATGAAAATGTGGCACCGGACATTTGACCGGCAGCATTTTAAATTTACTGGACATTTGAGAAATCTACTGGACCCTTATGCATTGGGTGTGTAATCTGATTAGGGCGTCCACCCGGGGTGCTCAGAATGACAGAAATCACATTTAGATTATGGTCATTCATATTAACAGGATGCAACGATGTGCGGTCCTTTTTTTAAAAAACCGAATTCTGATGTACACTTTGAACATGTTAGAATAACTGCACATTTACTTTCTCAGCCAACAAGACGAGTAACGAACAGCAAAATCATTAGCCTATGCGTAGGCATGCCAGAGTGTAAAGTTTAGGACAGCAAATTTTCACCATAAAAATGCAACCTTTATAATAAAGCATTTTACATTTAAGTCATTTAGCAGACGCTCTTATCCAGAGCGACTTACAGTTAGTGAGTGCATAAATTTTTTTCATACTGTAAATGTGTAATATTGCGATATGACGCTCTACTTCTCACTGACAGTCGCAAACTCAAAACCATCTACTTTGTATTTGCCGCGCGCTGCCCAAATGGTGTGCTCCGTCTTTCCTTCAGGACTTTAAGGCTTCGGAAAGCGAACGATCCTCTGGGGCCAAATCATGCTTTAGTAGCCCATTTAGAATTATGTTTCTGCATGGCAATTTAATTCAATTTACTTAGGGAACGCTTAGCTTCCCCTTGCTTTGTGGATGAGCCGCCTATGAGCCAGTCAATCCACTATCCCCCATAGAGTACGTACACTTTTCCTACTATTGGTCAGGTTGTCGTGAAAGAAATAGCCCAAACAGACTCTGGGACAGTTGTGGGAAGCTAGATCCCACAATTCATACAGCCAGTAGGCCTAGGATACATTAAATACAAACCTTAAAAAGTAAATGAATCAGATGCAACAGAGATCAGAACGTTTAGCTTAAAAAAAAAGGTTGATAAACTAGCATTTATTAGCACAGCAACGCACACAAGGTATTAGGCGGTATACTGTATTTACCAGGGTATTAGGCGGTATACTGTATTTACCAGGGTATTAGGCGGTATACTGTATTTACCAGGGTATTAGGCGGTATACTGTATTTACCAGGGTATTAGGCGGTATACTGTATTTACCAAGGGTTAGTAGGCGGTTGTATACTTGTATTTTACCAGGGTATTAGGCGGTATTACTGTATTTACCAGGGGTATTAGGCGGTATACTGTATTTACCAGGGTATTAGGCGGTTATACTGTATTTTTACCCAGGGTATTAGGCGGTATACTGTATTTAACCAAGGTATTAGGCGGTATACTGTATTTACCAGGGTATTAGGCGGTTTATCTTATTTTACCAAGGTATTAGGCGGTTATACTGTATTACCAGGGTATTAGGCGGTATACTGTTATTTACCAGGTATTAGGCGGTATACTGTATTTACCAGGGTATTAGGCGGTATAACTGTATTTACCAGGGTATTAGGCGGTTTTACTGTATTTACCAGGGGTATTAGGCGGGTATACTGTATTTACCACAGGGTATTAGGCGGTATACTGTATTTACCAGGGTTATTAGGCGGGTTTGACTGTATTTACCAGGGTATTAGGCGGGTATACTGTATTTACCAGGGTATATTAGGCGGTATACTGTATTTACCAGGGTATTAGGCGGTATACTGTATTTACCAGGGTATTTGGCGGGTATACTGTATTTACCAGGGTATTAGGCGGTATACTGTATTTACCAGGGTATTAGGCGGTATACTGTATTTACCAGGGTATTTGGCGGTATACTGTATTTACCAGGGTATTAGGCGGTATACTGTATTTACCAGGGTATTGGCGGTATACTGTATTTACCAGGGTATTAGGCGGTTATACTGTATTTACCAGGGGGTATTAGGCGGTATACTGTATTTACCAGGGTATTAGGCGGTATTACTGTATTTACCAGGTATTAGGCGGTATACTGTATTACCAGGGTATTAGGCGGTATACTGTATTTACCAGGGTATTAGGCGGTATACTGTATTTACCAGGGTATTAGGCGGTTATACTGTATTTACCAGGGTATTAGGCGGTTATACTGTATTACCAGGGTATTAGGCGGTTTACTGTATTTACCAAGGGGTATTAGGCGGTATACTGTATTTACCAGGGTATTAGGCGGTATACTGTATTTACCAGGGTATTAGGCGGTATACTGTATTTACCAGGGTATTAGGCGGTATACTGTATTTACCAGGGTATTAGGCGGTTATACTGATTTACCAGGGTATTAGGCGGTTATACTGTATTTACCAGGCTATTAGGCGGTTATACTGTATTTACCAGGGTATTAGGCGGTATACTGTATTTACCAGGGTATTAGGCGGTATACTGTATTTACCAGGGTATTAGGCGGTATACTGTATTTACCAGGGTATTAGGCGGTATACTGTATTTACCAGGGTATTAGGCGGTATACTGTATTTACCAGGGTATTAGGCGGTATACTGTATTTACCAGGGTATTAGGCGGTATACTGTATTTACCAGGGTATTAGGCGGTATACTGTATTTACCAGGCTATTAGGCGGTATACTGTATTTACCAGGTATTAAGGGCCCGGGGTTCCAATACTGTTTATTAACAATGTTATTAGGACGTATACTGTATTGTACATTAGGAGATAAAACAGAACGCGTTCTTCCTTTCACTGGTCACATTATGAAGCTTATTTACATTTTAGTCATTTAGCAGACGCTCTTATCCAGAGCGACTTACAGTTAGTGAGTGCATACATTTTCATACTGGCTGGCAGCTACACAAGTAAATGAGCTTACAATGAAAAAGCAAGGTATTTCTTGCAAAACCGATGCATGGCCAATATATTTCTAAATGTTTATCATAGAAAGAATGTAAGCAGCTACATTTCCTAATGTTTTGCCTAAAAGTTAAAAATCTGGCATTTTACCAGAGAAGTGTTTTGAAGATGTTTCACAAGAGAAAGTCCATCCCCCACATTTCTCCCAGTTACCCACTTCAACTTACTTCTGCTGGGCCTCCTCTGTCAGAGGGGTCATTCCTGGCTGGTTCTGCTTCCCAAAGAAAAAACTTGCCCACCAATGTCCCGAGTCTTGTTTGGGCAGACCTGAGAAACGGATTACAACTAGGTCAAACGCGAATCTATAAAACTACACAACGCCTCAAGATCTGTAATTGCTTGTCACATACATACATACATACATTCCATTCCTTACTAGATTTGTGTGTATATGTTGTGAAATTGTTAGATATTACTGCACTGTCGGAGCTAGAAGCACAAGCATTTCGCTACACCCGCAATAACATCTGCTAAACACGTGTATGTGACAAATACAATTTGATTTGAGATCGACAGCACTCAGTATTTAGCGGACTGTGTACTTTGTGGGTGTGGTAGGTGGTACCAGGCACAAAGTGGGGCAGTCAGTGTAGAATTCTGACGTACCATAAAACCAAATGGAATAATACTGCTTGAATTTAGGATCATAATAATTACCGCTTTCAACAGGTCATTGGTCCAACTAAGTGCCATGTCACATTTAAAACAACTGTAGTTCATAATGTCTAAAGTAGTAAACATTAGACATCCAGGACCTCTATACCAGGCGGTGTCATAAGACATCCAGGACCTCTATACCAGGCGGTGTCAGAAGAAGGCCCTCAAAATGGTCAAAGACTCCCAGCCACCCTAGTCATAGACTGTTCTCTCTGCTACCGCACGACAAGCGTTACCGGAGCGCCAAGTCTAGGTCCAAAAGGCTTCCCAACAGCTTCTACCCCCAAGCCATAAGACTCCTGAACAGCTAATCAAATGGCTACCCGGACTATTTGCATTGCACCCCCCCCCCCCCCCCTGCTTTTTAACTAATCTATTTTTTACTTAACACTTATTTTTCTTAACTGCATTGTTGGTTAAGGGCTTGTAAGTAAGAATACCTCACTAAATGACCTTACCACTGTGTACATGTCAAGCTTCAGCAGACAAGGAAAAACTGACAACCATTCTCTGCTGCCGCCTCAGGGCACGGTGCCAGAATTAACTCTGACACAACACCAACTGAATGACTCAACTCCCAGCAAGGCAATCCTTAGTCACAGACCTTGAAAAAGGCCTACCATGTAGTAGGGCCGGGACCGTACCAGCATCGCCATACTCCTTTTAGTATCGTGGCAAGGAAACAAAACACGAAGCAGATGGAACTTCTTTAGGAAAACAGTCCCAATGCTGGAAACAAACAATATTATTATGTTGTCATCCAGAGTCACATTTATTTACTTATTTTCCAGGCTATAGCACACAATATTTTACATAAGGCAGATTTTTAAAAGGACCAAATAGTTTGGTCTGCTTCGTGTTTTCATTTTTGCCATGGGAAAAAAAATATTGCGATACTGGTATCGTCACGGCCCTACTACGTAATACTACGACACACTATGTTGGTTTAAAGATTACCAGTCAACTGAGAGGATCCACTGGCTGACTCCCAAGTAAGGCAACCCCATGTCACCCCTCATCGGGCTAGGCTGTACGTGACAAATCATCACCTGTTGCAGTTTAAGGTTGTAAGAGGACATTCATTGTTCAACTCAATTTCCTTTCCCCACCACACACACACGGTTGGCTATGATTTGTCCAGCCAAGCACCCCATGGAAATGATGTGCATTTGACTTTATAATCATATCCTATAATCACATAGCCAACTGTATACAATACAACTTCACTGTTCAACCTGGATGGGAAATTCATATTCTAGCAGTCTTGTGTTATTCCCAACCCCCCATGGACAAAGCCATTCATCACCAACAGGTGGCATCTTACATTACATAGCAGGGTGGTAACCCATCATGTGCCATATGATGACATCACAGTTCGTGAACTCCCAGTACCACCCCTGGACACGGTCCCTTCCCCCCCCGTCGCCCATATGCTTGCTTTATGTACCTGGATGGTGTGGGATGACTTCCCCGCTGTACTCTGAACTCCCAGTACCACCCCTGGACACGGTCCCTTCCCCCCCACCGTCGCCCATATGCTTGCTTTATGTACCTGGATGGTGTGGAATGACTTCCCCGCTGTACTCTGAACTACCACAGGAGCTGCTGCTGGAGGTGGAGCCGATGCGCCCTGGGGAAAGTTAACACAATAGGAATGGAAAAGGTCTCGTTCAACACCCTCAACACAAGCCCACTCTCAGCCTAGGCTATTGTCACAGGATCAATCCACACTCCGGTCACTGTATCAGGATAGGACTGGACAATAAAACCCATTCATGACCAAGAGGTGTGATCCCCAACAAGTTCACGTTGCTCTGTCTATCATCAGAAAATGTACTCTCCTGTCGGTCTGCGTCAAGACGCCGACACCAGACAAGAGGGAAAAAGGCTCCTAGTCAGACTCAGGAGACCTGCACACCATCCACCGCTTCAGAGTACATTACTCGCTAACGTTCATTCCCTGGACAATAAAGTAGACGAGCTCAGGGCGAGGATCTCCTTTCAGAGAGACATCAGGGTCTGTAACATACTTGGTTTCACAGAATCATGGCCTCTCTGGATATAGTATCCCCGTCCATTCAGCCGTCTGGGTTCTCCAGCCATCGCGCAGACAGGAATAAAGAACTCTCCGGGAAAAATAAAAGGTGGAGGTGTACGTTTCACGATTAACTACTCATGGCGTGATCGGTCATCGTCACGGCTGTGTATATCCCCCCCCCAAGCAGACACTGCGACGGCTCTCGAGGAACTACACGGGACATTGTGCAAACTGGAAACCGCATATCCAGAGGCTGCATTTATTATAGCTGTGGTCTTTAATAAAGGAAAATGCTACCGAAGTTCCATCAACATCTCCTGTGCTACTCGCGCATCGAAAACAACCATTTCATACCTAGATTACATTGAGACACAAGCACATCTCTTTTTTATTTTAATTTGTGGGAATACTTGGGAACAGATTTCATACATTAAACACATTTTTGGATGAATTCCTTCCTGGTGATTGTGGTCCTCTGTAGCTCAATTGGTAGAGCATGGCGCTTGTGACGCCAGGGTAGTGGGTTCGATCCCCGGGACCACACATACGGAAAAATGCATGCGCACATGACTAAGTCGCTTCGGATAAAAGCGTCTGCTAAATGGCATATTACATTTTAGATTTTAGTCATTTAGCAGACGCTCTTATCCAGAGCGACTTACAGTTAGTGAATACATATTTTTTTATACTGGCCCCCCGTTGGAATCGAACCCACAACCCTGGCGTTACAAACGCCATGCTCTATCAACTGAGCTACATCCCTTCCGGCCATTCCCTCCCCTACCCTGGACGACGCTGGGCCAATTGTGCGCCGCCCATGAGTGTCCCGGTCGCGGCCGGCTGCGACAGAGCCTGGATTCGAACCAGGATCTCTAGTGGCACAGCTAGCACTGCGATGCAGTGCCTTAGACCACTGCGCCACTCGGGAGTACTCCACTCATATTAATTATTATTAAATTGTACAGTTTGACAAAACTAAAATCCCTTCCAAAAATGTTTGGGGGGCCCAAAGACTACAAAATAAAGATTTTGTATTTTATTTTATCACCTAGTAGGCCAGTTTTGTTGGCGGCCCCTGGTCTAGGCAGTAGACATGGCAACAAATGCACTGCAGAGATAAGATAACCCATTCACCTCACAAGGCCCCTCTCTGCCCAATACAAGAGAGTATGAAAATGTATTCCCTCACTAACTGTAAGTCGCTCTGGATAAGAGTGTCTGCTAAATGACTAAAATGTAAATGTAAGAGAATACACTAGTCAGTTGCACAACCGAATGCATTCAACCGAAATGTGTCTTCCGCATTTAAATGAACCCAACCCTCTGAATGAGTACAGTCAAGAGATCCGACTAGACCGAGGTCCAGATCTGTTTGTGCGGTCTTGCCAACTCCTTGCATTGTCATGTTTGGTGTGACAGTGACAGAATTGTTGGCAAGATAGCACAAACAGATCTGGGACTCAAGCTAGGTTTATCAGATGACATTAAGAGGGCTTGAGAAAACAAACGACTGTTGAAGGCTGAAGTGAATTATGATGGCGCTTGATTGAGTTAGGGCCTGAGGGCTAAGTTTGTAAAGACATGCCCCGGCCCGAGAGCTACTCACTTCGGTAGTAGTCATGGGTAGCCACAAGAGAACCGCCTGCGTTGATCGCTGCCATTCTCCCGACCTTGTTGAATCGTGCGTTAGATAGAAACCCTGGAAGAACGGGAGACATTTGGACATAGCCAGACATTAATTGCACACGTTTTTGGCAATGATTTAGCTCCTATTCAGTTCTTCAGAATGCATGGCTGGCTAAGTGCATACAGTAACAAGCAATAAGTAACTTCTCACACTTAGCTGAAATGATCAATATTGGAGGCAATCATTACTGGCAGGGCTGCCTCAAATTGTTAGTATGTAGGCCACTATCTGTTCTGTGACTTTTAGGCATCCAATACTACTAGACACAAATGACAATTTCTCACTCATGTGGGGGTGCTAAACCTAGGGACCAAGGGCCATTCGATTTAAGCCTAACCCATGATTTCAATCAACAGCGGTACATAACTACGTTAGCTAACGTTAGATAGCTACAATTTCCCCATTCTTAAAAATGTGAATGAAAATGACAAAGTCGGGTTTAGAAAAATTACAGAACATCATTTGGGGGGTCTGTTGCTGAATAAAAAGCCAACTCGACTACCTAACGTTAGCTAGAAGAACATGATGTCCATTTGGGACGAAAGGCCAAAAAAAAAATGACATTCTCGGGTAAAATGTCAAAAGAAAATCTTGCAACGTTGGCAAACAATAACATGAAAATGAGCGTAGTTGAAAACAAATTACATACAAAAAAAATATCGTCTGGAAGATTGAAATCACGATGACTTCGTGCCGTTGTCATACAAAAGCAAAATGTCCAAAACAACAACCACATATTCTCCGAGCATCACTAGCATTAGCTAGCTAACTTAGCATCGCTGCATTCTCCATCATCCAACTGCCATTTCGAGCGAATCTCACCTTTTTGTTACCCAGCGACGTGCTGATGTTAAACAGCACCCAACTCAATCGGCGAGGCTGGTAGGGGAGTTAACGCTAGGCGACGGGGCCCATTTGAAAATAAATTGTGGGTAAATAAAACCCTCTAACGACCTGCCACAGTCAGCTTTGTCTGCAGTAAATGTTTTACCAGAAGGAAGGATTGGGGAGCGGTTTTATACTAGGTGACAGCGCTGGTGAGACTAGGCGGGACTTGATCGTCGATCTGGGTTGACTGAATTTGTTTGCTCAGAAAATTTGCGCCAAATAGATCTCTGTGACAAACTATTTATAAAGTATAGTAAATAAATAAATATGTATCTGTCAACAGCTATCACATTTTTAATACGTTTTGTTTTATGAACATCTGCTTTAGGAACGTTTAGGTACGTTTAGGTCTCCGATATATTACTACTTCCCTGGTGGTCTAGTGGTTAGGATTCGGCGCTCTCACCGCCGCGGCCCGGGTTCGATTCCCGGTCAGGGAACAACTGTTTTATCAACAGGCTAAGGAAGAAACTTAGTGGGGGTGTTAATATCTACAGCTTTTATAGCCCTTCTAGCTGTAACGGGTATGTTCAGTGGGTTTAGGGTATAAATGGAGAACATTCATTGTTCGGCTACATTAAGGTCTGTGAATTGTATGGTATTTATTTAGGCTTTGTGCGGATTGGCATTTGGTACTGTAACAGCTCAAGACATGTAACTTACCCTTAGCTTTAAAACAAATATATTATAGGTCACCACAAAAGCGCCCAAGGAAACAATTTACACCCATATATTACCAAAGTAATGAATTATCTGTGGGAATGGCTCGTTTTGGTCTCTGGGTGTTACAATAAGACCCGAGAAACTGCAACGTGTTAGTTACAAATACTATTTCCGCTACTTTCACATTGAAATCGGCCAGGGTTCCCCAACCCGAATTTGGCCCAGGGGTGATTTTATTTGGCCCCCAACTTTTAGGCGCAAAAACATTTATAATAAAACATTTGTGTGTTTTAAATTTTCATTCTCTGACATCAAAGACTGTAAAAAACACCAGGAAATCAGCCCCAAGTGATTTTAATTTAGGAAATCTGTCCCCAAGTATTCCCAAGCATAAAATATGTATGCCTATGAGATTGTATAGAAATGTAAGACAGGTTTCTAATTAAATTATGTTTTAGTCACTACACTACATGACCAAAAATATGTGGACACCGTCGGACTGCCAGATGGTGAAGCGTGATTCATCACTCCAGAGAACACGTTTCCACTGCTCCAGAGTCCAATGGTAGCTAGTTAGACCACTCTTGCGCATGGTGATTATAGGCGGCTGCTCGGCCATGGAAACCCATTTCATGAAGCTCCCGACGAACAGTTATTGTGCTGACGTTGCTTCCGGAGGCAGTTTGGAACTCGGTAGTGAGTGTTGCAACCGAGGATAGACGATTTTTACTCGCTACACGCTTCAGCACTCAGTGGTCCCGTTCTGTGAGCTTGTGTGGCCTACCGTTTAGCGGCTGAGCTGTTGTTGCTCCTAGATGTTTCCACTTTACAATAACACCACTTACAGTTGACCAGGGGCAGCTCTAGTATGGCAGAAATTGGACTTGTTGGAAAGGTGGCATCCTATGACAGTGCCACGTTGAAAGTCACTGAGCTCTTCAGTAAGGCCATTCTACTGCCAATGTTTGTCTATGGAGATTGCATATATATGTGCTCTATTTTATACACCCGTCAGCAAGGGGTGTGGCTGAAATAGCCGAATCCACTAATTTGAAGGGGTGTCCACATACTTTTGTACAGTATATATAGTGTATGCCAGGATATAAAGTCCTGTGTCGCTCAATTGGTAGAGCATGGCGTTTGCAACGCCAGGGTTGTGGGTTCGATTCCCACGGGGGGCCAGTATGAAAATGTATGCACTCACTAACTGTAAGTCGCTCTTTTACCAGACGCCTTTTATTAAGTTGACATTGTGAAACGTTTTCCCCTCAATGAATACCATTTAATCAGCTTCTTGATAAACCACACCTGTCAGGTGGATGGATTATCTTGGCAAAGGAGAAATGCTCACGAACATGGATGTAAACAAATGTATTCACAAAATCTGAGAGAAATACATTTTGTTCATATGGAACATTTCTGGGAACTTTTATATCAGCTCATGAAACCAACACTTTACATGTTTCATTTATATTTTTGTTCAGTGTAGCTGATCCCTGTTCTAGGGCATTTCCTGACCACTGCACTCTTGCTTTTGGGTATAGGCCAGGTAACTGTAGAGCACTTCATGAACTGTTGAGGGAAAGAAAGGGCTTTATAAAAAATATTTTGGATTGAATGATCAAATTCGAACATTAACAACAACTCTCCTTTGTTTAAAGGAATGCTTTATTGATAGCCAAATATATGACAAACCAACATTTAAATTCATCCACCATTCTCCCATCTGATCCATTTAATGTGTACAACTAGGCTCACATCCTAAATAAAGCTATATATATTCATTCTTTCATCCCCGACATTGGCTTAGCACATTGTACATGCCCTCAATAACTTGTTTTAACAAATGCAGCCGTGGCGTCCCAAAAAAAAAAAAGTACATTAGACCAAAACATGTTTTTTTGCAGCTCTACATAAGCTATGGATGCATCTGCCATGTCATAACCAGAGACAACAGGAACCTACTTATACACCTGCAGTGTTTACACACAGGCAGCCCAATTCTGATCTTTTGCCACTAATTGAACAAAACATCTGAATTGGGCTGCCTTAGAGGGCCGGTCTGCCAACACAGATAAAGCCTAGTCCTGGACTAAAAGGCCTTCTGAATGGAGATTATCTGTGTCTTGGAAACCGGTCCAGATAGTAGGTTTACTACCATCTATGGAATAACTCTAGTATTCCGTTGAGAGAGAGCAAGAGATCTGTAACAGGCAGGTATTAAATATTGGCAACGATTTACTAATGGCAATTAAAAAAAAAAAATATGACACTTATTTAAACTTCACCCAAGAGAGAGATCAAAAACACATCACCTAAATATGATCATCACTACTAAAAATGATCAAAAAACCCACAAGTTAGATAGATAGAAGGGTACATTAATATTCCATCCCCTGGCTTACCTGGTTAAATAAAAAAAATAATGTAATAACAATAAATTGGGAAAAACAATACAATCTACGTAGATACTTCATGTTGAAAATAACAAACGTGAGACGGTGTCACCAAACCAATTGAAGCCATTGTGTTGAAGGTTATAAGCTTGGGAACAGCTACTGCTAGTTGTTCTTTGTAGTGTAAAGAGGCTGGATTAGTGCACACTGGCTAAACAGGAAGTGTTGTTGATATAATAACAGTAAAACTAGTCACGGAGTGTGTAAGAGTACGTGTGTACGTACGTGTGTGTGTGTGTGTGGTGGGGTTAGTGCTGGGGCACGGGGACAATTCTTATAATAAAAATGGTGGACAAAGAGAGCCGACTAACTGTGTTTGACAGTTGATCATTTCAGATGTGGCACAACAGCATCAAGCACTTGAGCCTACAAAAGAGAGACAGAAAAACCCTATTCTATAACTTCCAGAGAAAGAAAACAAAAACTAACATTTATTTTCTACCAGCAAAGCAACAGATAAAGCAATAAGACAGAAAGAGTGTAAGGCCTAACTATAGTTTCTACATTCACCAGATAGCTAGCTAGCTATACAGCAAAGCATTGCGTCACATTGTAAAAAAAACAACAAACAAATAGAATGCTCAGCATGGTACCAAACTGAGATCATTGTTGTATTCATAACGTTTTTATTTTCCTTTAAGCTTTCCTTTCTTGTTTTCGAGACTCCACGTTCGCCTTACCTACCGATGAACGCCGACTGGCAGGATTGTTTACAATATATTTATTCATATAGATAAGTCATGTAAAAACATTATGCAAAGCAGTGTAAAATTGTTTTATAATACAAAATGGTTTAACGTAGTTGTAGTTTTTTTTTTTTTACAAGCTGTGGTGATTTGATGTTATGTAACCTCAGTTGTATTTTGCGGTAGTTTATATTTGTACAGTGAGATGAGATATGCACATGCTTTTCGTAGGCGAGGGGGCTGAGGGAGACTTTTAGCCCTTAATACACTAGGCCAGGGTTCTTCAATTCCGGTCCTGGAGGGCCGAAACACTTCTTTTTTATTTTATTTCTACCTGGTAGTTAATTGCACTCACCTGGTGTCCCAGGTCTGAATTAGCCCCTGATTAGAAGGAGAGGATGAAAAACAGAGGTGTTTCGGCCCTCCAGGACCGGAATTGAAGAACCCTGGCCTAGGCACTTGTGGAGATCTGAAGGGGCTAGATAAGAGTAAGCAATATGGTAGTGGCTCCACCTTACCCTGCCATAGGATAGGTGGAATTGGTGCCATATTGCATACATCAATCAAGTCCTTTCAGATCTCCACAAGGGAGAGCTTAGGGTGTAGGGGGCTAGAGGTTGATTTAGGACTGGGCAGTAGCTGACAGAACATCTGTGCCATAAATGGTACCCTATTTATTATATAGTGCACTACTTTTTGCCGGTCAGGTGGAGGGAGGCAGTAGTGAGTAATGGCGTATGTGTGGGGAGTGGAGGGTGACTTCATTAGGCCAAAGGTCATGGGGGTCACTCAGTGATGAGTCGCTTAATGATGATGTCACAGTCCCGGTTGACGAGAGAGGGGAATAGCTTCAGAAGGGTGCGTTGTCCTGAACGGCGTTAGTTTCGGTCGGGGACTGGACAGCTTCACCGTTACCTCTGGCTCCAACCACCTTGTACTGAGGGAGAAAGGGGGAGGAGAGCGAGAATGGTATGGGATCAACGTGATGGTAAATCTGCAGTGAACAAGTCATTTCATTTAAAAAGGAGCTGTGTGAGAGACAGTGGAGAATAGGATAAGTACATGCAAACTGTTCTGAGATTTGTATAGATTATGCACCTGTTAAAAAGTCGTACACTGCTGCAGCACCGGTAAAAATCGTTAAAATGTGACACTCTTCCGCAGGGTGAATGACACCAAGCGCAACACATCACCCAAGTTTGTTAGCTTCTATCAACAACCCAGAGGTATTGTGGCATATGCCCATGATGGTATATTTGACCCATAGCCCTTATCAGATTCACTTTGCCACACACCTTTTCTTTATTATGTGCTGCAGTGCAGGGATACTTTAAAATCAGCCCAACTGTGAATAGAATAAATGGGAAAACTTAAAGGGAGTCAGTCATTTCATTTTCACACCATTTATTTAAAAAGGAGTTGTTTGAGACAGCTGAGAATAATCCAATAGTAATAAAAATCCCAAATGCAGGAACAGAATAAAGCACCCCTAACCTCTACCTCGTCTGTAGGGTGTTAACAACACAGCAAGGTCTATGCTGCAGTGCACAACGAAGATACAAAATGAAAATGTACAAAACTATAAAAAAATATACTTTTCCATTTGACCAGTTGTGAGTTGCCAGGGTTTAATAGTACTCTGCGTCATCTTCCCATTTCAACAACCCCTTTCAGCTCTCACCTTGATGTTTCCAACTTTGTCCTCGAACGACTTGAAGGTTGGAGAGTTTCTATAAAAAATAAAGAAATAAAAAACATTCCACAAATGAGCACATGGGAATATCATTGAATTAGCAACACAACTTTCACAAGTGTTCATTCACGAGATAAACACCGGACTCAAACAAAGTTTTATCCTCTCCCATAACAGGTTAAGGTGCACTACAAAAGGTAAGCATCCATTTGATAATACTTCTATCCTCCACTGCCAGACACACTGATCCAGGGTTACCTGTGGGAGATCACAGCTTTATGGATTATAATAATATGCCATTTAGCATATTCTTAGCAGGAGTTGATTTACATTGAAATTACCGGTCATATGATGTGTATCACTAGATTTGTTTGAGTTAGCTCACAAAAATATCCACAGGGAAAAGCGCACACACAGGATATCAAAAAGTTATATGCTTAGTATTTTGATTTAGTTAGAGCCAGCACAAAAAACACCCAACGTTTCCACTAGGTGTTTTTCAATGCTGTGCCATCAAATGATGTGAATCATGATATTGTTTGCATTGTGTATAGGGACACGACAATCCTCACCAGCAACCTTCAATTTACAAGAAAACAACAATTCAAAAAAAGACATAAAAACATCACCATCACAAACAAGACCACAACAGCTGTTAATCTAAAACCACTAAAATGTCATAATGACTTAAAGCGATACTTAAAAAAAAAAAAAACTAAATAGAATAAGTGTAAGTTACATTTACCTCATCGCTGGCATACTTATCGAATGGCGAATGGAGTAGTTGCTACTTTGTAAGCGTTTAAAGGGAGGGAGACAAAGAAGTGAGAGCGTTAGGAGCCAAGCAGAGGGGCAGGCCCAGGCCCAGGCCCAGGCCCGGGCCACCACTGGAGCAGCCACACACCAAGCAGGAGAACATGGTTATATCGTGACAGCAGTCGGTCAGGAGGACACCGCCATCTAGTGTTTACTTCAGTCAAACACAATCAAGGTTCACGGTGATTCATCATCAAATAATGAATAATTCAAATACGCAGGGAATTAATTTATATGAACCGAACTCCTCTTAAATAATAATCAAGTAATTCATTAAATCATAACATGAGGGGGAACAAAAATGTATCTTTTTATTTTTATATATATATATATATTCTTTAAAGCAAACGGTACCAGAGCATCGGCTCGCAGACCAACAGGCTCCGAGATAGCAGTCTTACGGCTAGGGGGTAGAAGTTAATTAGCCATAAGACTGCTAAGTAACTCATTGGTTACCCAGACTATCTGCACTGACTCTATGCACACTCACAAGACTACACACTCAGTGGCCAGTTCGGTACACTCATCTAGTACTGGGTTGGACACACCTGCTTTCGCTTTGTCATTATGGGGTATTGTGTGTAGATTGATGAGGAAATGTTTTATTTAATCCATTTTAGGATAAGGCTGTAATGTAACAAAGGGGTCTGAATACTTTCCGAATGCACTGTACATATCTACCTATAATATATAATATAATATGCCATTTAGCAGACGCTTTTATACAAAGCGACTTACAGTCATAACTGAAATACCCCGTACCCCTGCACATTGATCTGGTACTTCCTGTATATAGCTTCACATTGATCTGGTACTTCCTGTATATAGCTCCACATTGATCTGGTACTTCCTGTTTTATTCCTTGTGTTACCCTTTTTTTAACTCTACATCATTGGGAGGGGCTCGTTGGGAAGGGGCTCGTTGGGAAGGGGCTCGTTGGGAAGGGGCTCGTTGGGAAGGGCTCGTAGGCATTTCACAGTAAAGTCTACACCCGTTGTAGTCGGCGCATGTGACAAATACAATTTGATTTGAGAAAGCAGAGTTGCAGCATAAATACTAAAGCTCTATTAACAGTCAGGGCTGATGAACCTCAAGGTAAAGTTATCATAGCGGTTGATAAAGTAGCTAATTGGGGTGTTCCAGCAGTACAGAGTCATCTTACCCGAAGGAGTTAGAGAAAGGCAGCGCTCTGTGGACCGGCCGCAGCAATTCAAAACAAGGAGAAACAAAAACACAGTGAGGCACAAAGCAGCGTGGAGCGGAGCAGAGCTGGGCTATTCGTCAAAAGGGGCCGCTTTCAGAGGATGCTTCCCAAATGGCATGGAACCCTATTTAGTGCACAACCTTTGAACATTGGGTTCAGGTCAAAAGTAGTGGACTATATATTAAGGGAAAGGTTGCCATTTGGGACACAGACAGATATTGACATGATTTAAGGGGTCCAGAAAATATATTTGCAATGCGCAGGTCAGACATCTATTTATTTATTCTAACCTGGTAGCACTGCTGGTTACATGATAGATGGCGTTGAACCTGGTAGCAATGATGGTTACATGATAGATGGCATTGCAACGCACACCAGGGTCCCATGTTGTGCAACCCTGCTGTATGAAGCGAACAGACCTATAGTCTGGTCTTACTCAGACTTGGTGAAGGATAGTGCTAGATGAAAATGAAAAGACAATAACAAAATGATCAAACGGGACAAACAAAACTAAGGCCATTGATACGGAGCGGAGCAAGCAGGAAGGAAAGGTGCGTTGCTGCCGGGGTAATGGATCACGAAACAGGAAACAAGGGGAGGCCAATGACACACACATAGACTTGTAAAATGTTAATGGACAAGCATATTCTCAGATCACGTAGATACTTGAGTTAGTACGCTATTAGGGTTGCTTTTCAAGTGTTGGTGTTGAATGGATAGCTGGATTATTTATAATATGAATGACTAAAATGATGAATTGAACCATATAAAAACCAAGGATGGGCATTTTGGTTAGATTACAATTTATAACATGACTGTAAACAGTATGGTCCACCACAGCTAGTATCTAGCTAGTAACTAGTTAAAGTTGGAGCAACCAAGTTGGATTGACTGCAGGCTGTTGTCAGTCAAGTCTAGGGGGTTAGTGTAAATTCTACGGCGTCTGCTACGGTAGTCTTCTAGGATAGTGTTTTCTACATCAGGGCTGGCAAACACTCTTCCTGGAGAACTACTGGGTAGGCAGGCTTTTGCTCAAACCCTGTAAAAAAAGCAGCTAATCAAGGTCCTGGGTCCTCATTCATAAACGTTGCGTACGCACAGAATATGCCCCAAAACATGCGCGAGCCAGTTTAAGCAAAATGTTGGCATTTACAGTACCAGTCAAAAGTTTGGACACACTTACTCATTCAAGGGGTTTTCTTATTTAAAAAAAAAAACTATTTCTACATTGTAGACATCAATAGTGAAGACATCAAAACTATGAAATAACACATATGGAATCATGTAGTAACCAATAAAGTGTTAAACAAATCAAAATATATTTTATATTTGAGATTCTTCAATGTAGCCACCCTTTGCCTTGATGACAGCTTTGCACACTTGGCATTCTCTCAACCAGCTTCATGAGGTAGTCACCTGGAATGCATTTCAATTAACAGGTGTGCCTTCTTAAAAGTTAATTTGTGGAATTTATTTCCTTCTTAATGCGTTTCAGCCAAATCAGTTGTATTGTGACAAGGTAGGGGTGGTATACAGAAGATAGCCCTATTTGGTAAAAGACCAAGTCCATATTATGGCAAGAACAGCTCAAATAAGCAAAGAGAAACGACAGTCCATCATTACTTTAAGACACGAAGGTCAGTCAATCCGGAAAATTTCTAGAACTTTGAACGTTACTTCAAGTGCAGTCGCAAAAACCATCAAGCGCTATGATGAAACTGGCTCTCATTAGGACCACCTCAGGAAAGGAAAACCCAGAGTTACCTCTGCTGCAGAGGATAAGTTCATTAGAGTTACCTCAGAAATTGCAGCCCAAATAAATGCTTCACAGAGTTCAAGTAACAGACATCTCAACATCAACTGTTCAGAGGAGACTGCGTGAATCAGGCCTTCATGGTCGAATTTCTGCAAAGAAACCACTACTAAAAAGGACACCAATAAGAAGAAGAGACTTGCTTGGGCCAAGAAACACGAGCAATGGACATTAGACCGGTGGAAATGTGTCCTTTGGTCTGATGAGTCCAAATTTTAGATTGTTGTTTCCAACCGCCGTGTCTTTGTGAGACGCAGAGTAGGTGAACGGATGATCTCCGAATGTGTGGTTCCCACCGTGAAGCACGGAGGTTGTGTGATGGCGTGGGGGTACTTTGCTGGTGACACTGATTTATTTAGAATTCAAGGCACACTTATCCAGCATTCTTATTCTGCAGCGATACGCCATCCCATCTGGTTTGCGCTTAGTGGGACTATCATTTGTTTTTCAACAGGACAATGACCCAAAACACACCTCCAGGCTGTGTAAAGGGCTATTTGACCAAGAAGGAGAGTGATGGAGTGCTGCATCAGATGACCTGGACTCCACAATCACCCGACTTCAACCAAATTGAGATGGTTTGGGATGAGTTGGACCGCAGAGTGAAGGAAAAGTAGCCAACAAGTGCTCAGCATATGTGGGAACTCCATCAACACTGTTGCAAAAGCATTCCAGGTGACTACCTCATGAAGCTGGTTGAGCGAATACCAAGAGTGTGCAAATCTGTCATCAAAGCAAAGGGTGGCTACTTTGAAGAATCTAAAATATATTTTGATTTGTTTAACACTTTTTGGGTTACTACGTGATTCCATGTGTGTTATTTCATAGTTTTGATGTCTTCACTATTATTCTACAATGTCAAAAATATTAAAAATAAAGACAAACCCTTGAATGAGTAGTGTCCAAACTTTTGACTGGTACTGTATAAAAACGGAACTTGACGTGAGCATGTGCTTATCCTCCCGCAAACTTTAGACCATGCATATGCACAGTGTCTAGTGGTTGAAGTATTGCATTCCCAGAAGGCAACAGCAGCCTATAATAGCCTTGTGCAGGAATATGAGAATTATTCATAAAAAAAATATAAATTTATTTATAAGGAAACTAAATATAATAACATGCAATGATTTGCTGTTAGTGAGATGAGCGAAAAAATAAATGGATTATCTTTGCATTCTAAAATAATTAGAAATAGGCATCCATTTCATATTTTTTTTTAAATGTCAATTCCTGACATATTTCCTTTAGATTGGGTCTTATTTCCATACTTCCAAAGTACACAGCAAAAAACGAGACGATTGAGCAGAATGTCACCGTAAAAAAACGTTGACGACGCACGCACAGTTTAACGACAGGTCTGATTCATAACAGGAAATATACGTTGTATGGCATACGGCAAGTTTATAAATCAATATTTTTGCACACAGTCTTTTCAGAAATGACACATGCAGATATTTGGTGTCAAATTTACCCAACGGTTTTAAATGAGGCCCCAGGTGAGCAGCTGACTAGCTGAATCAGGTGAGCTAGGTAAGTCAGAGCAAAATCTGGCAGGAATAACTCTCACCAGAAAGAGGGTTGTTGTGGCCACACCAAACAAACTTATACAACCTAGTGGGAAAGAGGACTGAGGTGAGACCTCTAGGTTTTTAGAACTTTGCGGTTGGCCAACCCTGTTCTACAGAAAGGGCTTGAGGGGGGCCATTTTGGGTCTTGGTCTGTACCTCATGTCTCCCAGTTTCCTGCTGAGGGCAGTTCCCATGGTGGAGAAGGCAGCGGTGGTCTTCTGTCCTGCCACAGACAGGGTCTCCTGAGTCTTCTTATATCTGGCGGGAGAGGACAGATGGAGAGAGATAGTGTGTATATATATATATATCATTAAAACATGATTGACAACATATCGAAAACAGGGCTCACTTGGTTTAGAATAGATTACGCCTCCGTCGCAAGCAGAAGGAAGGAAGAGTCTTTGCCACTAAAGGGTTAATAAGTCTAACAGACAGAACAGAAAGAAAAGTCTGCAGAAATACAGAGGAAAACACTCCAGAAACAAGAGAATTTAGCAACAGCTTGTATCCAATACTTGACTAAAGGTCTCAACCAAGACATTTTAATGAAATATCATTTTAAAAATGTAGGCCCATGTGCCGGCCGCGACCGGGAGACCCATGGGGCGGCGCACAATTGGCCCAGCGTCGTCCAGGATAGGGGAGGGAATGGCCGGCAGGGATGTAGCTCAGTTGGTTGAGCATGGCATTTGCAACGCCAGGGTTGTGGGTTCAATTCCCACGGGGGGCCAGTAAAAAAAAAATATATATATAAAAAAGAATAATGTATGCACTCACTGGATAAGAGCGTCTGCTAAATGATTAAAATGTAAATGTAATGACCTTGTGACTATAAGGCTCTATCTGCACAAAGCATAGGTCTGAGATACTGAGCATCAAAGTTCACATCCCAGATCTCAGAACTGTTTTGTAATTAATTGTTCAGTAGGATGAGGTGGACTACCAACCCAGTAGGATGAGGTGGACTACCAACCCAGTAGGATGAGGTGGACTACCAACCCAGTAGGATGAGGTGGACTACCAACCCAGTAGGATGAGGTGGACTACCAACCCAGTAGGATGAGGTGGACTACCAACCCAGTAGGATGAGGTGGACTACCAACCCAGTAGGAATTCAGTAGGATGAGGTGGAGTGTTAAAGAGATCAGGTATTGCGCAACACAGCTTAAACCAAAAACTCTGAATTTACAAACTGGGCATTTTTCAGGCTTATTTCAGACGGTATGTTTAAAACAGAAAATGAATAATCCAGACAGAAGAACTTAGACCCATTAGTATTACAGCACCAACCTTAAAGCAGGAATCTACCCAGACACGTCGCTGTGCTTAAACCCCACACTGAATCACAATAGAAAGCCACAGAAAGATCAAACTGCAGGCTTCTTAACAAGTTACAACACACACATTCCTGCCCATAGTATGTTATATCCCCATCACACCAATACCCCTCTGAATGGATGGCTGTTAGGCATATACAGGGGTGGCACCACAAAAGGTAGTGGGTTCGATCCCCGGGACCACCCATACACAAAAATGTATGCACGCATGACTGTAAGTTGCTTTGGATAAAAGCGTCTGCTAAATGGCTTATTATTATTATATTATTTACATTTACATCATTTGGCAGACGTTCTCATCCAGAGCGACTTACATAGCCAATTGGAATTTGTGGTCTGTAGATTGTGGTCATTTCATTGAGGATACCATCAACACCACAGGGGCCTTTTAGGGTTGGAGGACTTGTATTCTGTCCTGTAGTTCATTCACCACCAGCGCTCCAACACTCCACACGAGCAGGTGATCGTCTCTAGCATGGAGTCAATAGTTAAGTCACCCATGATAGAAGCAATCATCTCTTACTAAGCCATCCGTTCAGTACACAGGTCCATATGTCCAAGTCCCATAAGATTGATTTCTATTCAGACTGACCAATACAATGGTATTGATAACCGTTTGATAATACTGAAAAGACAGTTAGGAAACTATGAAGCTGGTGGACAATCAATGAATGATATCAGCTTGTTACACTTTGTACAGCGGGTCAGACGGTCCCCCAGGACACGTGATGACCACGGCAGGCCCCCCCAGGACACGTGATGACTAGGGCAGGCCCCCCCAGGATCACTGAAACCAGCCTCTCAAATTCAGTCCTCACGTAACCCACAACGATACCCATTTTTGTTGTTGCCCCACACAAGCTCACACGATTTAGGTGAATAAGGTTGGCGTGTGCAAGGCCATCCAAAATACCACCAGCCAAACAGAAGAGAAGCATGAACAGTCAAAAACAACATAAGAAGCCCCTTCTCCCCCCCAAGGACAGTAAGAAGCCCCTTCTCCCCCCCCAAGGCCAGTAAGAAGCCCCCTCTCCCCCCCAAGGACAGTAAGACGCCCCTTCTCCCCCCCCCCCCCAAGGACAGTAAGAAGCCCCTTCTCCCCCCAAGGACAGTAGAAGCCCCTTCTCCCCCCCAAGGCCAGTAGAAGCCCCTTCTCCCCCCCCAAGGCCGTAAGAAGCCCCTCCTCCCCCCCCCCCCAAGGACAGTAAGAAGCCCCTTCTCCCCCCCAAGGCCATAGAAGAAGCCCCTTCTCCAAGGACATAAGAGCCCCCTCCCAAGGCCAGTAGAAGCCCCTTCTCCCTCCCCCCAAGGACAGGAAGACCCCCCCTCGCCCCCAAGGCCATAGAAGCCCCTTCTCCCCCAAGGACAGTAAGAAGCCCCTCTCTCCCCCAAGGACAGTAAGAAGCCCCTCTCCCCCAAGGAAGTAGAAGCCCCCTCTCCAAAGGACAGTAAGAAGCCCCTCTCCCCCCAAGGACAGTAAGAAGCCCCCTCTCCATCCAAGGACAGTAAGAAGCCCCCTCTCCCTCCAAGGACAGTAAGAAGCCCCTTCTCCCCCCAAGGACAGTAAGAAGCCCCTTCTCCCCCCAAGGACAGTAAGAAGCCCCTTCTCCCCCCAAGGACAGTAAGAAGCCCCCTCTCCATCCAAGGACAGTAAGAAGCCCCCTCTCCATCCAAGGACAGTAAGAAGCCCCCTCTCCATCCAAGGACAGTAAGAAGCCCCCTCTCCCTCCAAGGACAGTAAGAAGCCCCTTCTCCCCCCAAGGCCAGTAAGAAGCCCCTTCTCCCCTCAAGGACAGTAAGAAGCCCCTTCTCCCCCCAAGGACAGTAAGAAGCCCCTTCTCCCCCCAAGGACAGTAAGAAGCCCCTTCTCCCCCCAAGGACAGTAAGAAGCCCCTTCTCCCTCCAAGGACAGTAAGAAGCCCCTTCTCCCCTCAAGGACAGTAAGAAGCCCCCTCTCCCTCCAAGGACAGTAATAAGCCCCTTCTCCTCCTGCTGAAACAAAATGCAACTCCGGCAAAACAAAAACAAAAATGTAGGCAAAAACAAAAATAAATAGTTAATATAGTAACTCACGCTTCCGATTGGGCAATGTCATCCAAAGTTGCAGACGCTGTAAGAAATCTACGGACAAACAGTGACATCGAAAAAATGAAATGACTAACTGACTTCTTACAGGGGAGGAAAGAGACAGTTAGAGACAAAGTTCACATAAGAAATTGAAACCTTCTACACACACACACACTAAAAACAACAGACAATCCCCCCCAAAAAACTTAGCACAATACTGACTTGTTTGAATACTGCATTTACTGAACAATAGTATCACTACACTATGACAAAGCATCAGTCTTGGTTTGGAAAGTGGCAGAAGTGCCAAATACCCAACTCTGCCGAATATCCAGGGTTTATTACAACAGGGCTTCCCAAACTCGGTCCTGGGGCCCCCTAACGTTTTAGTTTTTTCCCTAGCGTTACACAGCTGATTCAAATAACCACGCTTTGACGATTTGAATCAGCTGTGTAGCGCTAGGGCAAAAAACCCAAAACGTGCACCCAGGGGGGGACCCCAGGACCGAGTTTGGGAAACCCTGTGTTAGAAGACCCAACGCAACCCTTCCTCAAGCTTGGACATGAGTGGAAGTCACATCTCTTGCGCTTTTATTGATTAAAACTCCCATAGTAATACTTTTCACAAACATCAAAAAAAGGGTTAATGTGTCAAGCATCAGATAGATACTATTTATTTGATTAGTCTTCATTGAGCACAAACCATACAGTGCCTGAATCAAACCATGTAGATCCTGTCTGTACAGTAACATGCATGGGAAAAGGAGGACGTGGCTTTAGTTCTGCTGACTACAATGGAAATGGAATATATGGTAAGCATGGCTGTAGCTGCAGTCTGACTAAAAATAAATAAACATTCATTCTGACTATTTTCTGTATCTATAAAAACACTGACACAAATGATTCTGTCTAGTCCCAATTAAAATCTCACCAATGCAACACACAGACATACCAAATAAAATAACTCTTCTAGGGCCGGGACCATACCAGTATCGCGATACTCGTTAGTGTCGGGGGCAAGGAAACAAAACACAAAGCGGATTTAACTTCTTTAGGAAAAAAAGTCCTAATGTTGGAAACAAACATGTTGTCATCCAGAGTCACATTTATTTATTTTCCAAGGTATAAAAAAAAACACACAATATTTGACATACAGCAGGTTTTAAAAAGGACCAAGGAGTTTGGTCTGCTTCGTGTTTTCATTTTTGCCATGGAACAAAATATTGCGATACTGGGCGCGTCACAGCCCTTACACAGACACTGTCCTTCACGTGGCATTCTTCCACATCCTCCCTCTGGGTGAGTCATGTGACTAATCAAGGAAGACTACCATTTTTGGGCCAGCCCACCATCGTCTCTCTCCGTCTCCGGTTGTTTAAATCGCTCCCTTTCTCTCCACCTCCCTTTCGGTCTCTCACATTCCAATCCTCCCCTCCTCTCCTCTCCCACACAATCCTGTGGCAGGTCTGGGCTGTGTGTGGTGTGTGCATATGTATGCTGAAAGGACAGTGCAAGAGATAGCTCACAAATAAGCACCCTGCCAAGTCTGTTAATGTAGGCCTTCAGCCACCCAGAAAATTCAAAATTTGCTGTAGCAAAACGGTGGTCGTGGTGTGATAACTTTACTTTGACTACCTTTTCCCACCGTTGAAGTCGGAAGTTGACATACACCTTAGGCAAATAGATTTAAAACGCAGTTTTTCACAATTCCTGACATTTAATCCTAGTAAAAATTCCCTGTCTTAGGTCAGTTAGGATCACCACTTTATTTTAAGAATGTCAAATGTCAGAATAATAGTAGAGAGAATGATTTATTTCAGCTTTTATTTCTTTCATCACATTCCCAGTGGGTCAGAAGTTTACATACACTCAATTAGTATTTGGTAGCATTGCCTTTCAATTGTTTAACTTGGGTCAAACGTTTTGGGTAGCCTTCCACAAGCTTCCCACAATAAGTTGGGTGAATTTTGGCCCATTCCTCCTGACAGAGCTGGTGTAACTGAGTCAGGTTTGTAGGCCTCCTTGCTCGCACACGCTTTTTCAGTTCTGCCCACAAATGTTCTATAGGATTGAGGTCACGGCTTTGTGATGGCCACTCCAATTCCTTGACTTTGTTGTCCTTAAGCCATTTTGCCACAACTTTGGAAGTATGCTTGGGGTCATTGTCCATTTGGAAGACCCATTTGCGACCAAGCTTTAACTTCCTGACTGATGTCTTGAGATGTTGTTTCAATATATCCACATCATTTTCCTTCCTCGTGATGCCATCTATTTTGTGAAGTGCACCAGTCCCTCCTGCAGCAAAGCACCCCCACGCTTCACGGTTAGGATGGTGTTCTTCGGCTTGCAAGTCCGCCCCTTTTTCCTCCAAACATAACGATGGTCATTATGGCAAAGCAGTTCTATTTTTGTTTCATCAGACCTGAGGACATTTCTCAAAAAAGTACAATCTTCGTCCCCATGTGCAGTTGCAAACCGTAGTCTGGCTTTTTTATGGCGGTTTTGGAGCAGTGGCTTCTTCCTTGCTGAGCGGCCTTTCAGGTTATGTTGATATAGGATTTGTTTTACTGTGGATATAGATACTTTTGTACCTGTTTCCTCCAGCATCTTCACAAGGTCCTTTGCTGTTGTTCTGGGATTGATTTGCACTTTTCGCACCAAAGTACGTTCATCTCTAGGAGACAGAACAAGTCTCCTTCCTGAGCGGTATGACGGCTGCGTGGTCCCATGGTGTTTATACTTGCGTACTATTGTTTGTACAGATGAACGTGGTACCTTCAGGCGTTTGGAAATTGCTCCCAAGGATGAACCAGACTTGTGGAGGTCTAAAATTTTTTCTTGGCTGATTTCTTTTGATTTTCCCATGATGTCAAGCAAAGAGGTACTGAGTTTGAAGGTAGGCCTTGAAATACATCCACAGGTACACCTCCAATTGACTCAAATGATGTCAATTAGGCTATCAGAAGCTTCTAAAGTCATGACATCATTTTCTGGAATTTTCCAAGCTGTTTAAAGGCACAGTCAACTTAGTGTATGTAAACTTCTGACCCACTGGAATTGTGATACAGTGAATTATAAGTGAAATAATCTGTCTGTAAACAATTGTTGGAAAAATTACTTGTGTCATGCACAAAACTATAGTTTGTTAACAAGAAATTTGTGGAGTGGTTGAAAAACGAGTTTTAATGACTCCAACCTAAGTGTATGTAAGCTTCCGACTTCAACTGTATGATGTAGGACATAAATAATGAAAGAGGGGAAAACATTAGTCCATGTATTTCTCTGTTTCCCTAGTTTTAACCAACCAACCACCAAACCAACAGAAGTTAAGCGTTAAGTAGCTGAATTAAAAAAAAGTGACGGGGCATCAGTGTTAGCTTTCTGCCGTGTTGGAGAAGTCAAAGCCCTTTGGATGAGTTATTTGCTGCCACCATCTTGATTTCTTTTCGCCTTTTTCTCCTCTCCACGTCTTCTCCGAGCAGAGCAGGCAGGCCCGTTGCCCTGGCGACTCCAGAGTGTACACGTTGCTGCTTCAGAGCCAGTACTGTTCTTCCTTCTGATAAACATGCGTCAAAACTTTGTCTCTCGTTCACATCCGCTTGTAAAATGTCCACTCACCAAAAATGACATTCACTCGCTCCTACACACACACACACACACACACACACACACACACACACACACACACACACATACCTTCATGAGCTGGATTGCCTGTTTTGGAAATTCGTTTATTTTCGTTAGCATATTTAGCTAGCAGCCTTCATGGAAATGTGCTATTACTCGTGTTAATTTTGTTAGCATTCTGGTAATTGACGCTTAAAAATGGGCTTTTTGAGTGGTTTTTGGCACCCTCTTGTGTACTAAAGCCAGTAATACCGGGATGAGAGTAGGACAATATGACAGTCTGGATACCGCCCAACCCTAGTTAAAACCATTAGGACGTATTGGTTGTTGGTTCACAGGAAGTGGGAATGAGGATGTCACCTTATCACTGAGGAGCCTCGGGACAAGGCCCTTGCTTTAACAGGACATTACAGTACAGGGATGGGTGGCTAACTGGAAATGACTCACTCTTACACAAAGTAATCAAAAAAAGGGAAAGAGATGGGCCTAAAAGCTCCCTCCTCGAGTGGAGTACCACACACCATTTCCCAGCCTCATGTAGCATGCTTTTAGAGTTTCCCCAAGCAGGATAGGCAGCAACTCTTTGGGCAAACCAACAGTGGCGCGTTAAAGCGAGGCAGAACTTTGTGGAACGTTCAAATAGAAATATATTACGTAGAACAAACAAGCTTCTGACACGTAGAATATTACAACTTCGTTACAACGACACCAGGATAACTGGGAGACCCAGCATCTCTTGGTTACAACGACACCAGGATAACTGGGAGACCCAGCATTACAACGACACCAGGATAACTGGGAGACCCAGCATCTCCTGCCAAGGTAAAGCCAGACTGTATTATTATATAACAGATGGTCTCATGGGAATGCACGTTTTCACACGCAGCAGGCAGAGGAAACCACAAAAGGACAAGTGTTATAGAATCAAGACCACAATGATACAGTAGCCAGGTTACACTGCTGACACTAGTTGCCCACGGCAGGTGTTCTGAGAGAGAGACAGACAGACAGAGACAGAGAGACAGAGACAGAGACAGAGAGACAGAGACAGAGACAGAGAGAGAGACAGAGAGAGACAGAGAGAGAGACAGAGAGAGAGACAGAGAGAGAGACAGACGAGAGAGACAGACAGAGAGAGAGAGAGAGACACAGAGAGACAGAGAGAGAGAGCAGACAGAGAGACAGAGAGAGAGAGAGAGAAGAGACGAGATAGAGACAGAGCAGAGAGACGAGAGAGAGACAGAGAGATGAGACAGAGAGAGAGAAGACAGACAGAGAGACAGAGAGAGAGGAGAGAGACAGAGAGAGACAGAGAGAGAGAGAGAGAGGCAGAGACAGAGAGAGAGAGAGAGACAGAGAGACAGAGAGAGACAGAGAGAGAGACAGAGAGAGAGACAGACAGACAGAGAGACAGAGACAGAGACAGAGAGAGAGAGAGAGAGACAGAGAGAGCACTAGTTGCCCACGGCAGGAGACAAACAGGAGACTCACAACTGAGTTTCTCAGTGGTTCTGACAAAGCTAGAAACAGAGACTGGGTCAGAGATGTAGAGCTCAGCACTGTGCCAGGCTGGCTGTCTGATTCACGCTACAGGGCCAAACCGTACTGTCCCGACTCGGTTATAAAAGTCGGCCTTATTTACTTTGAAGAACTACTAAAACAGTGATTTAGTCAGACAGCACAGGCAGCAGCTCTGTAGAGATGAGATGATGACTTGGAATGAAATAATATAGTCATCAAATAAAACAAATGTAATATACACAACTGAAATATTTATTGATGGTTAATAAGTGATCAGCATTAAATGATGTCAGTCACTACCATCATGGGACTTTTATTCTGTGTTGTTACAACATTCAACCCACATAAATAATCAAAAACCGAAAACCGTGATTTAAAAAGAAATAATCAAACTGACCTCAAAAAGCACTAATTGCTCAGCACTACCTTTCCAGAACGTTCCAGAAATGTAACCAGGCCCTACAGTAGGAGTCAGGCATACAGTATGCAAGAGGCTTAGGTTTTGTAGAGCCATGATATCTGGTGAGAGTGGTCCTCTGTTGCTCAATTGGTAGAGCATGGCGCTAGCAACGCTAAGGTTGTGGGTTCAGTTCCATATACACAAAAAAAAAAATTCTTCACTCACTGTACTGTAAGTCTCTTTGGATAAAAGCGTCAGCTAAATGAAATATATATGAGGAGGGGACAAGAACGTTCCATTAACTAGACTCCCTCAGAAACCTGAATCCATTAACTAGGCTCCCTCAGAAACCTGAATCCATTAACTAGGCTCCCTCAGAAACCTGAGTCACTGATGACGACTGATACACTTTCACTACCAACATCTAAAAAAAAAAGTATTTCCCTCCCTCACATTTTGACTTGGTAACAGAAGTGTCACTGTAAGGCTTTGAACTGTTTGACAGGATTTAACGAAGCCTCGATTTAAAAATGGCTTCTTCATCTTCACTCAATCTAAGACGCTAGGAGTTGAATCATACTACTTATATAAAACACAATGGGCCGTTTTGAACGTTGAATTACAGTGTTAAAGCATGAGTCGTCAAAAAACGCAATAGGAATACTTGAGCCAGAGGTTGAAGTAGACCGACATGATTCTATAGCCCCACCGATCACATCCGCCTCGACGTTCACCTCAGTGTACTAATAGCGAAGGACCAGCACTCACAGGGCCACTCCGTCTACACTAACAGCCTTGAGTCCGTCTGACCAGGCCAGAATACGATAGAAAGGGAACAGCAGAGAGCTTCTAGAATAATCTATTAACGGACGTTACTGCAAGTGATCACCTGATGTTTATCGTTACAACCTAAAGATAAGATTAGACTAACTATTGTCCCCGAAGGGAAGTTTGTATTAAAACCATTTAAAGTGAGTGATATTTGCTTGGTTTAAAAAAAAAAGAGACTACATTTTTGAAGGATCATCTACTTACGCGTTGGAAGTCTGGACGTCCTGCCATCCCTTGGTGAGGTTCTGTTTGAGCTCGTTGAGGGGGCTCAGGCCCAGCTTCCTCTTCAGATCAGCAGAATGTTTCTCTTTGGCCAGGAGCACCTGTCTCAGGGTGTTGATCTCCTCTTCCACCTGAGGAGGATGACACAGGAGACATGCGAGGTATAGCGACATTACAGGATGCTGTCAGCGCTCTCTGTCATGTATATACACTGTAGCTACTGAAGAGAGATATTCTTCAACCCTGATCTCCTCCTCCACCTGACAGCAACACAGGAGCGTGGTCAACCACTGGCTGGGCCAATCATAGCTATGAACATCCCCATTGTCTGAAACAAAAAGTTCCCCCTCAATGTTTGTGGAACAGATTATTTTTAGTAAACCAAAACAGGGCTGTGATTACATTAGCGCACAGGGACAACAGACAGACAGGACACGAGGCCTGTATTGGTGAGTTCAGGCCAACAGACAGACAGGCCAGACAACAGACAGGAGGACATAGAGACGACAGGAGGACAGACAGGCCAACAGACAGGGAGGACAGACAGGGAGGACAGACAGGCCAGGACCATACCTTTTCTAGCTCAGAGCAGAGCTCCTCTGTGAGCCCTGGGGGCAGCGTGTTGACGGATCCTACCCCCCATGGCTACCTCTAACTGGGGGCAGTGTGTTGACGGATCCTACCCCCCATGGCTACCTCTAACTGGGGGCAGTGTGTTGACGGATCCTACCCCCCATGGCTACCTCTAACCTTAACAGGGCCTACCTTGACTAGCTCAGAGCGGAGCTCCTCTGCCTCCTCCTCTGTGAGCCCTGGGGGCAGCGTGTTGACGGATGATACCCCCATGGCTCCGCCCTCCACGGGGACGTCAGTCACGTGGTCTGCTCCTCCTGCAGGGCCCAGGCCCTTGTTGGGGGAGTTCAGGTTGATGTCTGGGTCAAGAGAGAGAGTGGGGGCGGGGGGGCATGCTGAGATGAGAGAGTAGAAGGCCTTGAATTGATTGAAGTGTTAGTGTCATCACCAGTAATAATAATAATAATGATAATAATAATGACTATTGGTATAGCGCTTTTCAATACAAGTAACAAAGTGCTTCACATCATAAAAGTGCTAACAAAAACAGGAGAAATAAAATAAGATAGCTCATTAAAATCATAGATTAAAATCATCTCTGTGGGGCGGCAGGTAGCTTAGTGGTTAAGAGCGTAGTGCCAGTAACCGAAAGGTCGCTGGTTCTAATCCCCGAGCCGACTAGGTGAAAAATCTGCCGATGTGCCCTTGAGCAAGGCACTTAACCCTAATTGCTCCTGTAAGTCACTCTGGATAAGAGCGTCTGCTAAAAAAATTAAATAAAATAAAAAAATATTTAAAAAAATTCTTTATAAAAAGTGGTTTCAGCAGGGATATAAAAGAGGCACTGAATCTACGAGCCTGATCTCCTCTGGCAGACCACTCCAAAGTCTAGGGGCCCTAATGCCCGGTCTCCTTTCACTGTCAACAAAGACTTTGGAATGGTCAACAGTGCCCTGCCGGAGGATGTCAGGCTGAGTCCTGGCTCGTGGGGAGGTAAAAAGAGCAGAGACATAGGACGGGGCTAAACCAAACCAGGCCTTAAAACTTGATTAATAACATTTTAAAATCTATTCTAAAAAGTGACTGGTAGCCAGTGTAGAGAAGCTAAAATAGGTGTGATATGGTTCCATTTCCTGGTGCCTGGTAAAAGCAGAGCGTTTGGAACTAACTGTTGACTAAGTGATTTCTGACTGAGACGGGTATACAGAGTGACTGAGACGGGTATACAGAGTGACTGAGACGGGTATACAGAGTGACTGAGACGGGTATACAGAGTGACAGTAATCTGAGGAGATAAAAGCATGTATACGTTTTATCCAAATCAGTGACTGAAATAAAAGTATTGACTTTAGCGTTATTTCTTAAGATGATAAAACATGCATCTCGTGGTTTAGGTTAGGGTCAAAGAAGACCCCAAGGTTCCTGGCTGAAGGCTTTACATTTGTGGACAAATGACAAAGGTTATTTACAATCTGAGTTTTAGCAAGGTGTGGGGCCAAATACACCAACCTCAGATTTGTTATTATTGAGCTGGAAAACATTTTGATGTCAGCAAGACGCTTGTGAAGGGTAGCTACGCTAGCTTGGTCACTGGGTCTGATGAGTAAATAGTGCTGGGAGTCATAGCAGCGAAACTGAACGTTATGATTGCGGATGATGTCACCAAGGGGAAGCATATACTGGGGGGGAAGGATTGGTCCCAGATTTGACCCGAGGGACACCATAGTGAATAGGTGCTGGGGACGATACGGAACCACCCATGCTCACTGAGAAAAGTCTGCCACATAGATATGACCTGAACTAGTTGAGGGCAATGCCGGAGACCCCCAACCACCTCGCCAGACGGACAACAAGGATGTTATGATCAATAGTATCAAACACGGCAACAAGATCCAAAATAAATCAAATCGAGCATTCACCAGCAGCCAAAAGGCCATTACTTACTTTCAATAAAGTAGTTTCCGTGCTGTGAAGTGAGCAGAAGCCCGACTGGAATTTTTCAAATAAGTTGTTCATACTCAAATTAGCCACTAATTGCTTGAAAACAACTTTTTCCAAAATCTTGAAAAAAAAAAAAAAGGAAGCTTAGAGAAAGGTCTAATTATTTAGTGAGGAGTGGTTTAGATTGGGCTTTTTAAATGAGAGGTTGGACCAGAGCCAGAGTTCAGGGAACTATTTCCAATAGACAGACTGTTGGGGCCAACAGTAGACAACCTCTTCAAGTAGTCTAGTAGGGACCACGTCCATCGTCCAAGGGGCAGGAGAAGGTCTTCATGTGAGCAACCGTATCAAGGAGGGACTCAAAGGATATTTGCTCAAAAAAGGAAGCAGCAAACTGTCTCAAAGTAGTTGCCTCAAGTGCCTCCTGAACAGAAATAATGGTATGGGGCCAGCTACTGTCAATCCGGGATCTAATATTTCCTATATTTCCTGTAAAGAATCGTAAAAAAAAAAAAAAAAACAGTTTGCAGAGATCAGGGGACGCGAGCGAGTCATTGTAATTTACGTTCAGCCTTTCTAAGTTAACTTTTTAAAGCGCAAGTCTTTTTAAAATCAGTTTATTATTGGTATTCTAAAGTAGCCTGACATTTTTTATTTATTTTTTGTCATTTAGCAGACGCTCTTATCCAGAGCGACTTACAGTTAGTGAGTGCATACATTTTCTGATACTGGCCCCCCGTGGGAATCGAACCCACAACCCTGGCGTTGCAAGCGCCATGCTCTACCAACTGAGCTACAGGAGGCCTGTGTCATCGAAACTGTTCATCAAGTCATCAGTGTGAAGACAAAGTACAGGCTCAGTGGCAGGGGATGGATGGAAAAGCATTTGTACGTTTACTAGCAGTTGTGGAGTTAATGACTCGAGAGCGAGTGGGGACAGACATTTTTAGGAGGAGAAAGCATAAAAAAAAAAAAAAAAGATGGTCAGACACATTTACAGTTGAAGTCGGAAGTTTACATACACTTAGGTTGGAGTCATTAAAACTTGTTTTTTAACCACTCCACAAATTTCTTGTTAACAAACTACAGTTTTGGCAAGTCGGTTAGGACATCTACTTTGTGCACGACAAGTGATTTTTCCAACAATTGTTTACAGACACTTATAATTCACTGTATCACAACTCCACTGGGTCAGAAGTTTACATACACTAAAGTTGACTGTGCATTTAAACAGCTTGGAAAATTCCAGAAAATGATGTCATGGCTTTAGAAGCTTCTGATAGGCTAATTGACATCATTTGAGTCAACTGGAAGTGTACCTGTGGATGTATTTCAAGGCCTACCTTCAAACTCAGTGCCTCTTTGCTTGGCATCATGGAAAAATGAAAAGAAATCAGGCAAGACCTCAGAAAAAAATTGTGGACCTCCACAAGTCTGGTTCATCCTTGGGAGCAATTTCCAAACGCCTGAAGGTACCACATTCATATGTACAAACAATAGTACGCAAGTATAAACACCATGGGACCACGCAGCCGTCATACCGCTCAGGAAGGAGACGCGTTCTGTCTCCTAGAGATGAACGTACTTTGATGCAAAAAGTCAAAATCAATCCCAGAACAGCAGCAAAGGACATTGTGAAGATGCTGGAGGAAACAGGTACAAAAGTATCTATATCCACAGTAAAACAAGTCCTATATCGACATAACCTGAAAGGCCGCTCAGCAAGGAAGAAGCCACTGCTCCAAAACCGCCATAAAAAAGCCAGACTACGGTTTGCAACTGCACATGGGGACAAAGATCGTACTTTTTGGAGAAATGTCCTCTGGTCTGATGAAACACTTTTCTAAGCCATCAAATATGCTACAACCAGCACTGCAGCTGCAATGAATGAGTATACACTACCGGTCAAAAGACCTTCATGTCTTAAAATAATGACGGACTGTCGTTTCTCTTTGCTTATATGAGCTGTTCTTGCCATAATATGGACTTGGTCTTTTACCAAATAGGGCTATCTTCTGTATACCACCCCTACCTTGTCACAACACAAGTGATTTGGCTCAAACGCATTAAGAAGGAAATAAATTCCACAAATTCACTTTTAACAAGGCACAACTGTTAATTGAAATGCATTCCAGGTGACTACCTCATGAAGCTGGTTGAGAGAATGCCAAGTGTGCAAAGCTGTCATCAAGGCAAAGTGTGGCTACTTTGAAGAATCTCAAATATAAACATATATTTTGATGTGTTTAACACTTTTGGTTACTACATGATTCCATATGTGTTATTTCATAATAGTTATGATGTCTTCACTATTATTCTACAATGTAGAAAATAGTAAAAAATAAAGAAAAACCCTTGAATGAATAGGCGTTCTAAAACTTTTGGCCGGTAGTGTTTATAGCAAAGTGTGTTTAGATAAGCTTGCATTATTATTATTAGCGGTGTGTCTCGGATTAACAACATGAATTGGTGCATCAGGCAGAAATAATGCAGTGCGACTTGAGTTGCCATCAGCTGGAAGACATTGTCCCCTTTTCTCAGTGGAGGGAGGGAGGGAGGGAGGGAGGGAGGGAGAGCGGAGGGAGGGTGAGGCAGCCTCACCCCTGCTCCCGCCCTCCCCTCAGCCTGACCATCAGATGCAGGCCATCAGTCCAGTAAAATTTTAAAAAAGCAAATTTTGATAACTCAGCTATGCCTCACAAGTAATACAACAAATGTTCTATTACCTGTGTGATCACATAACTAACATGTTGAAATATAATTTCTAAATGGTCTGAGAAGAACAACATTGGCAGGACAATTCAAGCAGAGCCAATATGCAGTGATAATGTATTGGACTCTATAGCCTACTGCACAAACCTCATTGCTACAGAACTGTTTTTAATTGGTTAATGTCAGTGGAGGTTCTTCAGAGGAGCAAGATTCTCCTCAGTGAATTTCATAAAAATAGAAAGAAATTAAAAAAGTTATCCTTATTAGAGAAAACTATACTAAATATATTCACGTTACCAAATAATTGACTAAAACACACTTTTGCAATGAAGGTCTACAGTAGCCTCAACAGCACTCAAAGAATCAGAGAATAAATCTAGTACTGAAAGCATAAGCTACATTTGACTCAAAGAGAGAGAAAGAAAATAGTTGAACAGTTTCTAATAAATTAATTTCTTCCAAAATTAAGGATAGAGAGCGAGACAGAGATGGCTATATTTGGTTGCATTGTTTTTTTCTTACTTTCACTAAGCTAGCGAATGCAGCTAGCTAGTTTAGCCTACTCAAAACACCCAGCTCAAACAGAAAGGGACGCTATGTTAGCTAGCTGGCTATGGCAAGTCAAGGTAAGCTTTTGGTTTTATTCATTTATTGCTACCGGGGCCTGCCGGTGTAACTACTAAACTGCTTTCTGACTGTACCGCATGATTGTAGCGGGTTTACTAACACGTTAGTTCTAGTAGCTATGTTGACTATGACGTGACAACGATGTAGCGGTCAAGATATGACGGTTTGTCTTGAAAAGGTTCTCTCGCCTGGTCACAGACAGCTGATGTGTCGTGCACTGAAGTCCACAAGCGAAGGGAAAAGGTGAGAGGAGGAGGAGAGCGCGAAGATAGTTTGCGAGAAGGAATTATATATACACACAACGAACAAAGGGATCGTACTGTTTTTATGTGGCTGCTATGAAAGTGAACTGTGTTTGCTCTGTGATCAGGGGTCTATTCATTCCGCCGATTCTGTTGAAAAACATTTCTTAAAAACGGAAGCAAACGGAACGGGGATAAACATACCTGAATTTGTCCAATAGAACCTTACATTTGCAACTGTTGGCAAGAGTGTGCAAGGCGGTATTGAATGTGTCACCTTGATTACTCAAAATTCTCTCGACCTGTGCACCTAAGTTGTAAACTTTAATTCATAGGCTAGGTAAAAGGAACCTCATTACATTTTAGTCATTTAGCAGGAGACGCTCTTATCCAGAGCGACTTACAGGAGCAATTAGGGTTAAGTGCCTTGCTCAAGGGCACGTCGACAGATTTTTCACCTAGTCGGCTCGGGGATTAGAACTAGCGACCTTTCGGTTACTGGCACAACACTCTTAACCACTAAGCTACCTGCCGCCCCTCATGATGGGTACAGGGAAATGTTGAGTATCATGTAGTAGCCTAAACCTATCGATGTTACATTGAGCTGGGTGAATGGAATATGCATGACAGTCATCCAATTTGCTATAATAGAAATAAGGCCATGCTCATACAATTTGTTAACATCCTCCCTCATCTTAAACGGCACAGACTGCCACTGGTCTGCGCATGTCTCTGGAGATGCTGAGTGTGTATTAAATGGGCAAGGCGCTACATTGGGTCAATCTGTCTTCTGCATAGGCCGTGCAGCATTTACAGTGATACGGCCTCTGCAGAAGTCAGGGCATTAATACTTCTTGCCCAGAGCTGTTGTGAAGGAAGTGAGTTTGTGTTTATACAAGACCTCCTGCCCCTCACCTACCTTCAACCAATCATGGGATACAGAGCTCAATATGGCCTCTGCAAAGCCTCCGCCATTGCGTCACTCCGTCCATACGTCACCTAGGACTACATTTTTGGATCAAGCATAAATTGCCTTTTAATCCTGCTGTAGGACTCATTGCAGCCAGCACTAGCAGGTCAAAGGTACGACTAAAATGAACGAGTCACTCAGAAAAACGAATCATGACTCGAGTCAGTAAAAAAATAGTCGTTCAATCAGAACGAATCGTTCGCGGACTGCACATCACTAGTAGATGTGTCACTGTCAACTAAAACCATATGAGCTGGCAGTGGCAAGCTAACAAGCTAGCTGGGTGCGTTCTTGGCTGGTCCCTGCAATCCTGGATCCTTGGGACGTCCCAACTGGTGTTAACGTTACTCCATTGAAGTTTACAACTCTAATGGTTAAGATGTCAAACTCATTCCACGGAGGGCCGAGTGTCTGTGGGCTTTCGCACATCCTTTGTACTTGATTGATTCATTAAAAAGGTCACTCATTAAAATAACTTCCCCTCACCTGGTTGTCTAGGTCTTAATTGAAAGGAAAAACAAAGACGTGCAGACACTAGGCCCTGAGTTTGACACCCCTCGGGAATGAGTTATTGTGGGGACGTCCCAAGGATCCCGGGTAACACACACCGTTCTTGGCTAGCTAACGTAACAAGTACGCTATTTAGCTCACGCAGGCTAACTAGCAAAGTAGCCTTTGTTTACAAAAATATGAGCTATTAAAAACGCAAATACCGTCTATTTTTAGTAAGATCATAAAAACGAATTAATATCTACGGCGTGAACCAAGTTAATTGAGAGGTTA